AATGCGCAGACATAGATCTCAGAAACATTCTTAACATCAAATGTTCTAAACCCCCCAACCTCACCCCTGCCCCTCACAGAATTCTCTTTCTTCTGGAGACCTTGATCCCAGTTCTGTAACAGGCATTGTAATATATTGTAAAAACAATATTTAGTTTATTAAATTAAACCTAGAGATTTTGCAGTGGAACATCAAATATGAGAATTTGTTTTCCTTAAAAGTTTGAAGTTTTAAACTATGCTAAACTCAAACTTTAAAGGAAAATAAAGAAAGAATTGGCACCATGTAAAAAAAAAATAATGATACATACATCTCTCACGGGCAGCCGTAGTTCATTTGAATTTCCGAGCCGGGTCAACCTTTCCGGTCCCAGTTTGTACTGTATCGCCCGGACATTGGATAAATAAAGCAGACACTCAATAGGATTAGCCGGTGCAACAAGGTTAACGCGGTCAGACTTTAGGTTGATTTACTTTTACTAAAAGGTACGGGGTGCGTGCTCTCAGCTAAAATATAATTTTTAAGTTTTTGTTTTTCAAAATCGAGATTTTTTATTATTTTTCTTCCGGAGCAGGATTCATATTTAGAATATTGTTTAGTTTCTCAGACTATGAGTTTTTGTAAATGAAAATAATATTAAACCCAATACAATATCTTCTACAATTTTGAATATTCAGAGAGAACCTGAGATATCAGTTATATTCCAAAAAGCGGATGGAATTGTTCTGAAGACAAAACTTTTGAATCTTTAACATGTTTATAACGCGCTCAGCCATTTCCTTTTCCCTCGACTTTTAAAGGAATTGAATCTTTGTCACAAGCTCAGATTTTCCACTATCTACTCTTTGCAACCCAATATCGTAGACATTAAATATTTTAAACTATGAATTCTATTAGATAAAATGATCTAAGCTTGAAATATCAAAGGTTTACACTGTTAGATTCAGTTTTAGATCAGAAGATTTCAGTTTGTGACAAAGACTCAAGACTCGATTAAAATATTATATGTTTGAAATCATAATACATTTTACTGAGGACTGAGGAGGTATTCAGAACCTAAAATGATTTGAATTTCAAATATGTAACTGCAGGATAAATTATTTCTTTGTAAAGTTAAAACTAGATAAGCTACAAACTCACAAAGTCAAAGTTTCATATATTCTCAAAATCAAGTTAAAATCGTACACTTTAAAAGTTGACGATGTGGATAGATGTTACTAAACGCTAAAACAATTATAAGTTTTAGCCTCCAGTCTAATATTTATTCATCTAATGTTATTTTTATGAAAATAATACCAATCAGTGGAAAAGGGGTTTAAAAGAAGAGGTTTGATTTAAGTCTATTTTTTAACATCTAATCTTTTTTAATTAAAAAAATCATTGTAAAAAGGACTTAGTTCTTATTGAATAATAGATTTATTTGACCAATTTTGTTACAGTGAAACCCTTAATAACGAATACATCGAAAGAATTCATCAAATGTCGTATTCTTCACTTTCTGATCATGGAATGTTGCAGATATTTAGTTTTTTAATTAAATGATTATATGGAACTCTTTAACGCTGTTCCTGCATATTCATGGCTATTGATTTATTTTCGCAAATACTGAAATTTACGTAATATAGTATAAAACTCATTGAAAAATTGTCAAGACGACATTTGATAAGTTCTTCCAATGTATTCCTTATTAAGGGTTTCACTGTATTAAAAAAGTTTTAACTATAGAAACACTAGTGCTCGCATATTATGGGATATACATATGAAGTTATAAATCTATCTGGACTATTGTGTAATTTTTATATCTATGTAAACATCATTAATACTCAATAAAAGATAAAACTGTTGTTGATGTGAAGAAATAATTATTTGGCTAGATATCCAAATATATGGTGTTTTATATATATTATATTCATTATATATATACTAGCTGTAACTCAGTCCCATGGGAATTAAAGTATACCCGGAGCTGGATGGAGAAGAATGGTAATCCTGTCATTATATTTCAAGTATACCAGAGAATAGAGATATATATTATAGACCAACCTTCCTACAGCTAATTCTTGTACCCGGAGCTGGACAGAGAAGAATTGTAATCCAGATCTTGTAGTTAAATATTATATACCATCCTTCCAACCACTGTTCCCGGAGCTGGACGGAGAAGAATTGTAATCCTGTCCGTGTATTAATAATGTATAACAAAGATATATATATACCATATCTTCCTGCAGCTAATTCTTGTACCGGGAGCTGGACGGAGAAGATTGGTAATCCATCCCTTGTATTTCAGAGATATATCAAAGGGAGTGTTAGCGAAAAATTTAAGGAGGTATAGGCTTACGGCGTAAAATAAGCGCTTTAGATCGCTATTAATCTTACTTCTATCTGATGTGCCTATAAATTGTTTTAAACGACCCATACCGAAGAACGTAGTGTCCATACAAATACAGAACGTTGAAACATTCAACTCGGCTCGTAAAAAAATCAATTTAATTTCAAACAATGCATTCAGATATTACAACTAACAATAATCGATAATTTTTCGACACATTCATATATAGTTGATATTTTATGATATTTTTATGATCTGATCTTCCTACATCTAATTCATAAACCTAGAGAAAAAAGTATATAATATAGCATCCTTCCTACAGCTAATTCATAAACCTAGAGAATATAGTATATAATATAGCAACCCTCCTACAGCTAATTCATAAACCTAGAGAAAAAAGTATATAATATAGCAACCTTCCTACAGCTAATTCATAAACCTAGAGAATATAGTGTATAATATAGCAACCTTCCTACAGCTAATCCATAAACCTAGAGAAGATTGTATATAATATAGCAACCTTCTACAGTTAATTAATAAACCTAGAGAATATAGTGTATAATATAGCAACCTTCCTACAGCTAATCCATAAACCTAGAGAAGAAAAAGAAATAGTTTACTAACTTTTTAGAAATTTGAATCTAACATAAATTTAAGAGATTTCAAACGAAAGAAAATTAATTTTGTAAGAATTTATTCTCTCATAAACAAAGCTCAGGATGAGGGCTCGTTCTGGAATTCGTTGAATATTTAGTATGTGAATAAAGGAACTGAGTTTTTGCCACAAGCTCAAATTTTCCAATCCCTAAATTTTTACAACCTGATGGTGTAAATTTTTGATATTCCAAACTTAGATAATTTGATCTGTGATAATGATGTGTGTAAAGCATTGGGTTACATGTATATAAGGCTAAACACATTTTGCGGGAAAAATCAAGAATTTTATATTTTTTAGAACTGTTTCGATCGAGTTTTCTCTCAATATTTTTAAGCATTTTTATAAAAACCACTTGTCAGCTCAAACTCCAAATGTCAAAATAATTCTAAATAATGTGAAGTAAATGGATTAGATTTGTAATCTGAGTTCTAAGTTGTTTAACAACTGTTTATTATTCTGAAAGGAAATAAGTTTTGCCACAATGCCTGATTATATCATCACTATACCTTTGCAACTCGTCGTATAGACCTTAAATATTTAAATTATGTAAAAAGTTGTATCAAACTATGTTAAAATATCAAAGATTTACACCATTAGGCTGCAAAGATTTAGGAATTAGAATATTTGAGTCAATTCCTTAAAACTACAAAAATGTTTTCCAACATTATCATCGAATTTCGATTCTTGTACTAGGAATAAAACTAATCTTTTTAATTCCAAATTTTTCTTCAAAAATAAACACCACCTTTCCAATTTCACATATTAATATTACAGATAAAACAATTTACTGAAATTAATCCCTACTTATGGAGACAAACCCTTATAATCTAAGCTCGGATTATAAAAGGGCTTTAGATGATTAACTTTCTGCAAAATATAATTCAATAAAAATGTTAATATTGAACAAAAATTAAAGCAGAGATTTTTCTGCTTTTGCTTGTTTAATGTTCAATGTTCAATGTTTAATGTTTAATGTTTAATGTTTAATGTTTAATGTTTAATGTTTAATGTTTAATGTTTAATGTTTAATTGATAGAAGTCATTAAACAAGAAACTTAGGCAATTAGTTTAACTATCTTCAAGAATGCAGGCAACTGATATTTGTTCTGGGAGCTCACTACTACCATTAATAGTATTGTGATGCATACTGTACTATCATATAATATTTTATAAAAACTTTGATGCAACCAACAAGCACAAATAGTACTTTGATGCATACTGTTATATCAAGATTTTGATGCAACCAACAAGCATTAATAGTACTTTGATGCATACTGTTATATCAAGATTTTGATGCAACCAACAAGCATTAATAGTACTTTGATGCATACTGTTATATTAAGATTTTGATTAATAGTATTGTGATGCATACTGTTATTTTAAGATTTTGATGCAATCAACAAGCATTAATAGTACTTTGATGCATACTGTTATATTAAGATTTTGATAAATAGTAGTGTGATGAGTACTGTTATTTCAAGATTTTGATGCATCCGACTAGCATTAATAGTATTGTGATGCATACTGCACTGTCCTGTCAACATTTGCATCCATCCGACTAGCATTAACAGGATTGAGATGCAATCTGTCATGTCAAGATTTTGATGCATCTGACTAACATTAATAGTAGTTTGATGCATACTTTTATATCATGATTTTGATGCATACCACTAGCAATAATAGTACTGCTATTCACAACGGTACCCTTAAAAGCAATGTTAATAATTTAGAAAAATTATTATTGTTAACTGTGGTTTCTCTACAAAAGCGACTGGCGCATTTCTACTGCAGGAACACATATAGTATTTATCTGAATATAACTCTTTTAAAACTAGAAAAAACGACAATATCTTCAACAACATTTCTCAGATTAAAGTTTCAAGGGTACCATTGTGAATCGGGTATTGCTATCTTTGCATATAGGGTCACTTGAAATTACGCTGACAGTCCCTTTAAGTGCGACAGTTAGTTCAACTACACACAAATTATATGAATTTTTATTTTGTATTACATTTATATTTACAAACATATATTTACATGTAGTTTCTGATGATAATTGCTGTCCCAGCTTTCACAAGTTCTGAACTAGGAACTTGAGTTGGGATTGAAAGATGAAGTACTAAAGATGAGCTCCCATTGGATAGAACTCTATTGGAAGTAATGTACATGGGACACATGTACATATCCACCCCCTCCGGTGTTGTACACTCAGATTTATTATAGAAATGTAGTGTTAGAGATGGAATAAGATGTTTACTTTTCTCCATGCAATGCTCTAAACTTCCCTTTATCAAATTAAACTCAGCATACTCCAGGACTAAACCTCTCAGCAGCAAGGTTTTGCTATCAGCCTTACTTTCACTGCAGTTTTCTTGAATAGATGTAGATACTCCAACATCATGATAAGGAACTTCTTCTTTATCACAGAAATCAAGTTTAGCAGCTTCAAACAATCTGAGAGGTTGCAGAATAGCTCCAAGTTGAATCCCAGTGGATGGATCTAACTGAAGCAAGTATCTAAGGTTACTGAACACGGTGTCTACAAACTCAAGAGAGTGCTGAACCCCAAGATCAGCCTGTTCAATCCATCCTGGAGGCACCTGGTAGTTTTCTAGATACATCAGTAGTTCTTCTAATCTAGGGTCTAGGAAACTAGTCCCCTCAATCTGATCTTCCAGTTCTTGTACTTGAATCAAAAGACTATCTTTTATTACAGTATATGCTTCAACTTCTTCTTGCAGGGTCCTGGCTAATCGGTCTGAGGGCTTTAAGGTTGGTAGAGTATCATTTAGCTTTTTCATATGGGCTTTCAACTCCGAGATAATACAACTTTTATTTTTATCTTTTAGTCTGTATGCATTCAGTAGTTTATCCAGGAGTTGTCTTGCTAAATTGCAGTTATTCTCAGTTTCAATAATTTGTCTTATGTTGTAAGCATCAAATTGTGTTCTTTGAGGCCAGCTCTTGACAGCATCTATATAGTCGGTAAAAAGGATCTTGTTTGGTACATGATAATGAGGAGAGTCAGAGAGCTTATATCTGTTCACAGTCAGAACATCTTCGTTCATAACTTCATCAATCAAAACATTTAACATTTCAAGATCTTGATTATCCTGAGTTCTGTGCTTCAGGTTACATTCTTTAATTAGGTGGATAAAGGCTGGGAAATTTATACCTTCAAACATTCTGATTACATTTCTCAAGCTATGCATAGCAAACTCTGCATCTACCATGTTGAACAGAGTTTTTAGAGACCATCCCTGTCTAGGGTAGAAGTTTCGTCCATTAAATTTGATAACTAGAAAGAGAAGAGAAAACAATAGTTTAGAATAGCTAATCTCTTTTCCAGGAGTTCCCGTCTCAAAGAGTTCTTTTGTAAGAAAGGTTTGTTGAAGAACATTCAGAAGTGTGTCTTTCATATCCTTGGCAGCTTCAATTACAAACTTGGAACAGTTTCCAGGTACCAGGGACCCTAGGGTTGATACAGGGTCTGATGTAAACCAAAGTCTGAAATCTTGATTAAGATCTGTAGAGGTTGATACAAGGATGAAAATCTTTTCCATATTAATCCTTGCTTCCTTGGAGAACTGACAGTTTTGAATAATCACCCAGGAGCCATCTTTCAAGCTATGTTCCACGGAAGTACAAATAGTTTTGAGTTGATCCGTATTCAAACTGAATATGTTCAGGCCGCGAGTTTTATCCTTGTGTCTTACTTTCCTTAATTTTCTAACCATCTCAAGAGGTTGGCGGTTCTCTGCTAACAAAAGCAAAATTGGCATTTTAGGACAACTGTCTGACAGAATTCTTCCTAAATCATTCGGCATTGGCTCAACAAACTTATATCCCAAATTTTCTGAAATAAAGGATTCAAAAATTTCCAGAAATTTGTCTGGTCTCAGAATTTTGATAATGATTAACTTGTGCAGCCTTGTTAGCCTTGTGTTCCAGGGCTGGTGAAGAGGAAGGTCATCTGGTTCAACTGCATCAAAAATGATCTTCCATTTTCTATCATTGTCATGAAAATCCTGGACAATCCCTTTGAAGCAATCCAATTGTTCTAATTTACATACATGGTTCCATTTTTCATCGGACAACCATAGTGAACATGGATTAGGTAGGTCGGATGGTTTAACCCTTTCCAATAACACTCTGATTTCCAATTCACTGATTAATTCTCTATGCAACATGAGATCTACACAGAGTAGAAAGGAGAATGTATCTTTATCCTCTATATATACAGACTGGGATACTTGAACAAAACAGTTGAATGTTAAATGATCGCAAAGATATCGGATGCGCTTGGTCAAAACCTTAGATTTGTTACTATTCTCTATCGACGATTGGAAAAGGTTTAAAAACCATTTAAATGAGAATGTATAGACTGGGTTTAACACTTCTAACTTTTTAATAGTGTTTAGAAGTGTTGCTCCATGTTTAGCTATTGTAATATAGCTGGCATTGATTTCTTCTATCTCAGTTTGCATGGCAAGCAGTTTGGTCTTTCTTAGTAAACAACTCTGAATTTCTACAAGGTTGTCCTGAACCTCCTTGCAGGCATTCTCGTGTTCTAAAATGTTTCCATCAGTATTAAGAAGTACCCTGATAATGTTACTCCTATTCTGATCCAAGATTTTTGATGTCTCACAGAACCTGTTTACAAAATATTCTGTCTTTTGACGAATATCAGTTCGTTCTCTGGAAACCACCATTCTTCTTAAATTATCTTCAATGCCTTGTTTAGTCGATACACAATTAATGAGAAGAAGATGGATTTGAACATATGGGCAAAATGTTATTGCCTTGGATTCAGTGCTGAAAATCAATCTGAAGTTTTTGTTAACTTGAACTATTTTAGTCCCTATTTCAACCTTTTCCATTCCTTCTTCAGTGAAGTATTCCTTCCTAATAAGTCTGTTCAATGATGAGTCTATAGTATTTTTAATATTCATGATCAAAAGAGGATATCCTTTCTCAACAGCATCAACTAAATGCTCTACAAGGTCCTGATCGTCTACATTGATTGAAACTAACCCGTTCTTCTTTTGGACCTTCTGAAGCCAGTGAACGGTTTGATTGTCAGGATCTAGTAAAAGAGGCCATCTTGGTGATAACTTCATGACAAGTGCATTTGTTATATAGTATCTGATATTTGGTAAACCAAGCAGCTCCCACTGTAATACTTCCGTCTCGGAGAGAATGAGAGAGAATCTTAAATCTTCATTGGAAAAGGGAAGTTTCCATTTAAAAAGGATATTTTCAATTTTTGTTTGAGCATCTTGTCGATATGTTTCTGGAAATCCAGAAAGATAGAATAGTAAACTTGACAGGTGGAGTATATTTCCGATCAATGTTTCTAAATATTTTTCTTGCTTTTCTTTTTCCTCGCCCCACCAAGCATTCTCATTTTGTAAGATTTCCAATAGTTCTTCACCTCGTTGTTTCTTAAGCGCCATGAAGCTTGATTCCTCAACCAACTCCTTTTTCTTTTCCTTATTTTCATTCATCTGCTGATTAGTCTCCTTTATGCGATCTTGTTGATCCTCAACTTTACCTTTTTTCAAGTGATACTCTTGTTTGGCCTTTTCGTATTTAATTTCTGCTTCCTTCAAATCATCTTTCTTGGCCTGATTAGCTTCGTCAATTGTTATATAGGCTTCAGTCAGTTTAACCCATTTACAAATAGTCTCCCCAACTATTGAAGATTTAGCAAGAGCACTTGGTTCAAAATCACTATTAACATAATCATTTCTTAGAATAGAAAGCTTCTCTTCAGAAACCTTTTCTTTTTCCAACATTTCCAAATTTGAAACAAAGTCTGCGGTCTGAAGAAGACGTTTACCTGGACCCCAATAATCAGGAACCTCCTCAGCATCCTTCTTTTTACTGGAGGGATCTGGTATCATATCAGGATTAATATCTAGAAGTAGACAGAGAGCTGCCATGGTTCTTTTCAATAGAGCACTTGGTTTCTTCAGCTGACATGGCTGTTGTAATTCAAGTGGAGAACAGTTTTTTAGATATACTATGCAAGCATTTATCTTCTCATTGACATTTTTGAATTCATTTTCACAAATTTCTCTTACATTATTCAGTATTTTCTGTTCACTTTGAAGTCGCTCTTCTTCAATTAATAAATCGGCATTTAATGTTGCAAGAACTCCATTTTCTGATTCCAACTGAGTTTCAAGTTTTTTAAAGTCTTCATCCAGTGTTTCACCCTGAGTTTGTAGATCTGCAATATCTTTCTCCAGACTACTGATCTCTTTTTTGATCCAACCATACTTCAGAAGGATGTCTTCATAAAATTTCTTTTTTGCTGTCAAACTAGATAGATAGGAGGTGAACATTCTAGAATAAGATCGGGTACAAGAGAGAAATGAGGATGGTGAAATGTCAATTTTAATAGTTGATGTAGTATTGATGTCTTCAGCCAACTTTAGCATCTCATAATAAACTTCTTTCACACTTCCAGTCAGAGCTTTTCGTTCTTCACGATCTATCACAAGTTCTTCAAAGAATGTTTCTGCAACCTTTTGTAATGCATCATCAGGCCACTGCTGGAAGATGGATATTGTTGAGCTATCAACAATTCTAGGATATTTTCTACTTATTATTGTCAGCACTTTAGAACCAACTGATAGTTTCATGATTATATGGAGATTTGCTCTACATCGCTCTTTAAACTTGGTAAACAATTCTGCAGGACTCAGTTCTGATTCACATCCCTTGGACCTTTTCAAAAAGTTATGAACTTGCTCAGTAATTTCATATCTCTCCTCCACTGAGAATAAATTGGGCAGATCAGAGCTTGTCAGAAATGTATTGATATCATTCAGATAAACATCATAGTCCAGCATTTCAGGATTTATGAAAAGAATACAGCATTTCCCCAGACCTCCAGCATTTCTCAGCAGGTTTTTAAAATCATTCCTCCAATCTTGAAATAAAAAGTCTTCTCTAATAGGCGGAGTATACATAAGAGCATTTTTTAGGATACTTGCAACTCTAGTGGTCAGCTCCCTTCCAGTTCCAGCCTCTCCGAGGAGAATAATGTTTCCATTTTCCATACTGAGCATTCTGCAAACCTTGCTCAGATTCTCCATAGAATACTTAAAGGTGTCAAAGTTGAACTTTTCCTTTGGCATTTCCTGAAAGTGTTGATTAATAGCTTGTTTGGTTTGCTTGGAAAACTCCTCAAAACTGGTAATTTCTTGATAAAACTGTTTTTCCTCTTCTTTAATAAAATTACCAAACATTAGGTTCCGCAAATTCATCTCAGTCACGAACCCGTCTACCTTTCCGAGATGCTCAAAGGCAGAATCAAAGTTTTCTCTAAAAATCACTTTAACACAGTGTTTTATATTCTCAAAAAGTATTCCTGTATCAGCGGGTGAAACCAGCTTGTCATTGAATACCCTGAGAACCTCATGAACCCAAAGTCTAGTAAACAACTTCTTATTGTCTGAGAGTTCACGAGGTAGAAGCATACATCCTTGCAGCACAGCAGCAATATCTCGTACATTAAACACATAATGTGGTTTGCTGGGTATTTGAAGCAAGTTTTGTCTCAGTTGATTGTGAATATATATTGAGGATTGAACAAGAGGAGCCACGACTCCTGATGCTTCTGGTTGAAAAGATCTGGTTTTAAAAAACATGTTCATCTTTGTCGCAAATATTTTCTGTAAAGAATCATCACTTGGGTAAGTGCAGGAGACTGCATGAAAATGCCTCAATGTTCTACTTGAGAGCTCTTGGTTCATCCCAGGTCTAAAGTTTGCACAACAGACAATGTTTGTATTCTTTAGTTCATAATCATTGAACTCTTCAAAATCAAACATTTTTTTGTGATCTAGAAACAAATGAATAAATTCATTTGGGATTTGATCTCCAAACTCATCAGGCAAAGGCAATCCAAAATTGTCCAAGAACATGACGAACTTTTTATCCGTCTTTGATCCATATGATCGAGGCGACTTCTTAGTGAGAGAAGAAATGAAACTTGAATAAACAAATTTAGATGTTATGTTAGGTGTGAAGTTTAATATGTGATAATCATACACATCTAAATTTAGATCATTATGGAGCATATCAGTGATATAAGTTGATTTGCCTGTACCTCTTGGTCCCAGGAGCAGGAAAGGTTTATTCATTTTCAAGGATGCCTCTAAAATATTGACATATCTTGAGCTATCTATTGTAGGGATCAGAAGATTTGAAACGTTGTACACATCTGGGATTTCTGTATTTTTGATGACATCATTCCAGTGCTTCCATTGTCCTCTAGCTTTGAAATCAAAAACAAAATCAAAGATAACTCCTTCAACTGGGGGCAGAGCATCAAACTTTCCATTCAGGGACTGGGGAAGAGGATACCCTTGACTTTTTCCAAATATGATTTCTCTAACTCCAGAATCAAATTTAACTCGTTCATCTTGATCAAGTAAGCAACCTCCAATGGACCAGATCGAACCATAAACAACTGCAGCTTGAATCCAACCTCGGAGATACTTTCTCTCCTTCAGGTTTACCAGAGCATCCAGCAGTATTCGTTCAAACAGATCTAGACTGCATTGAACTAGATTGTTAGGTACAACTTGTCCTGCCAGCTTACAGGAGTTTAAGAGTTCTAATAGTGGAGGGAGCATCCATTCAAATAGTTCCCTTAGTAGAACATCATGCCCTTCTATCCATGCTTCCTGCTCAATTTTTCTCATCCATTTATCAAATATATTCTTCCATGGAAGACATGATCCAGGTATTGATATAATTCCACACCTGGAAAGGGTTGCAGGGGTTACATTGTCTAAACCAGAGCATTCAAATATTATCTTTGTGGTTGATTTAATACAAACTGTTTCCCCGGAGTCAAAATATACCAGTTTCTTAAAATCCATTGAAGAGTTGAGATTTTCTACCCATCTGTGATCCATAGGACCATCAAAAATGATCCAGTTTTCCTTATTTTCTAAAAAGAGCTCCCTAAATTTCTTGGATAGAATGCCGTTTTGCCAATTCACTCCAACCTGTGTTCCAAAAAGTTGTGATTTCTCCATGCTCTTAGGATTTATAATTATTTTCTTCTTGACATTTCTCCTCTGAGCAGCTAGGTTTAATATTGTAGTTTTACCAGAGTAAGTGGGACCAACAATAATTACAGCTTGTCCTTGATCAAGATACTTGGCGCATTTTTCTGCACGCTCTGCCTGAGAAACAAGATCAGTTTCAGAAAGATCTTTGTCCATCTTCATTACTGTTTTAAGTATATCCTTGACTACAACTGTATCTGACAGTTGAAGAGTAGGAACTATACACTCTAACAATGCATTAGCTACTATCTCTTCTTCCTTGACATTAGTTTTCTTCTTCAAGGTTGTTCTTGACAGTTCTAGAAATTCTCCTATTTTTCTTAATCCAAACTGATACTGCTTCTTCTTATTAAACTGACTATTGAATACGTTTTGAAAGTCTGAAATACTATGAGCCAAAGAATCCACGTTTTTGAACCCAAAGGATATCAAAATAGTTTTAAGGATAATCTTTATATCAGGAGCTAGTATTGTTACTGGACGAAACAAAGATTTTAAACTTTCTGGAACTTTGTGTCTCCCAATATAGGAAGTGTGTCCTGTTTTCAGAACAAAATATCCAGACTCTATTGGAAGAGATTTTCCATTATCTAGAACAAGATTTTCTTCTTTCTGAAGAGTAGTTTGCTGAAGATTGTCCAGGAAGACGGAAGCATAAGACATGATTTCTGAATTAGCTCTGTCATAGTCCTCAAGTACTCCCCAGCACCCTGAGCTGGCTACTCCACACAAGAAGTTTGATATAGAGGAGAGTGTGTTCATTTCAGACCCAGAGAAGACTCTATACATGGTTCCTATATAAGCTGCTAGTTCTTTACCCAGAGAGGATTTACCCACATCACAAGGTCCCGTTATGCTTCCATAATAGTTTAACTGGAAAGCTTGAGCTAGACATATTACACCTTGATGAGTCTGAGGAGTCATTACTAGTCTTTTCACACTCCCAATATACTCATACCTGTAGGATATTGTTACATTGAACACTGAGACCTGGAGCTCATTTTCAACCATCAGCATTCGAATCTGAGAACTCCAAAGGAAATCATTTTCAGACGTTATTCTATCCCTGTAGACTTTCTCTGTCACCTCTTTAAAGTATAGCTGTTGTATGATCATAGATTTGACACAGATTTGGAGAGGTTCAGTGAGATCATTGGTTTGGAGAAAATCAATCATGTATTTCACATCATTTGTCAGCTTTACAAATTGTTCTTTCAAGGCCTGCTCCCCTCCTTTAATTGCCTCCTGGATGTCCAGTGTCCAGAGCAGATGTTGAACTGCTAGAATAACTTGAGAAGGATATTCATCCAACAGCTCAGTTTGCTTGGAGTTACTCAAGGTATCTTTAGCAGAGAAAAAAAGTTGGGTTAAAGTTCCAAACATATGATTTTCCAGCTCTGTTAACCATTTCTCAACACAACCCTTGGCTTCCCTAGGTTGAACAGGGTATGTAAATGTAACTGTCTCATTAGACGGACTGATGATGGAGTGGATTTCCTGAATCTCATTGAACTCAAGACTTTGAATTCCTTCGAATATCTTCTGGCAGTATGGAGAAACCCTGGTTGGATCTTTAGTTTCGGAGACCACATTCAATATATCCTGGTTGGAGAGGAAGAAAAATCTTGGAAAACTTGTTTTCTTCTCTTCAACAAACTGATTTACTCCCTGGTCAATAACACCTATAATCTCTAAACTTAACTTTAACTGTTCCAGCATCCCTTGCTCTCCTGCAGACACAAGAACTCTGGGGTCCTTGCTGATGGAGCTCATAATACCCTTCCAGGTCTTGTCCACGTCCTTAAACAGGTTGCTTTCTGCTTGGAGGGGACGGACTATTTCTTCTACTCCGAACATGGACTCCATATACAACCATTTTTTCTGTACCTCCTGCCATACCCTGATACACTCCTCTATACGGAGTAGTTGACTCTCCCAACCCAAAACTTCCTTCTCGAAAGGTTTAAAGTAGGGAGAACCTCGCATAGCTTGGGTTTTTGTCAAGTGATCCTCTGAAAAAAAAGTAAAATAAAAACTAAGAATTTTGTATAAAAATTAAATATTACCTAGATAAGATTCTATTAGATCTACTGAGCCTAGTATCTTGTTTGCTGTATCTCTATATTTGACAGTTTGAAATGATATATCATTCCATTGACTTTTCATTTCCTTCAAATTCATCTCTAGTGCATGCTCCTTGGTAGCAGCTACACTCACCTCTTCTAACTTCTCCATGAACGGTTCAAGACTGAGTTTTAGGATCTTTCTCAGACTAGACCCGGAGTTTGGAGTAATATCATACCCTATGATATCTGACATGAGAGTCCAATGTCTAGCTCGGATTCCCGGATTACAGAGACAGGACACAACCCGGATATTCTCTGTAAACTTACTGATAGCTGTGATAGTCAGTGCACAGATCTTAAGCGGAGGTGGAAGCTGCTCTGGGTCTGCATCATCCAGATTCATCTTGGAATATTTAGATTCTCCGTCCAGCGCAGCCTGCTTAAACTTAGATTTAAATAGTTTCTGAAGTTTGACCATCTCTACCGAGAACTCGTCGATATCGCTAGTAATCTGATGAGAGTTTAGATCTAGAAACGCTCCGTCCATCCATTTCTTCTCAGCCTTCTGCCATTTCAGGACGGTGTTGAAAAGTCGGGCATAGGGTTCAATCTCGGCCTTCATCTTCCCCTCCCCGGTGCTGATAGTGGAGATGTCCCCGACGCCTAGGTAGGAGGTCTGCGGGAACTTGAATAGAGCTTCCTCTTCGTTTACCCAGCAGATAGTATTCTCTAAACTCTTCAGCTTATTCTGGAGCAACCTTGGGAGAGAGAGAAAATTAAAACAATAAAGATGATATCGCAGGGCGGGATATTTATTTTCATTATTAACAATGGTTGGTTACCTTTAAACCTTAGTCTGAGCAAACTTGTTAAAGATATTCTTGTATTTCCATTTTATTGTGGTTTCTCTAACAAAGAGAATTGCGGATTTGTGTTGGATAGTGCTCAGGAAGAAAATGTATAGAATTCAACACTTTTTAAGGCAGCAAATTGACGAAATCTTCCTCAATGTTGCTCAGATTAAAGTGAATTAAGCATGCAACTCTTTAATGTACTGTAGTGAATCAAGCATAGAACTCTTTAAACGTACTGTAGTGAATTAAGCATGCATCTCTTTAAACGTACTGTAGTGAATCGAGCATGCAACTCTTTAAATGTACTGTAGTGAATCAAGCATGGAACTCTTTAAATGTACTGTACTGAATCAAGCATGGAACTCTTTAAATGTACTGTAGTGAATCAAGCAAGGAACTCTTTAAATGTACTGTAGTGAATCGAGCATGCAACTCTTTAAATGTATTGTAGTGAATCAAGCATGCAACTCTTTAAATGTACTGTAGTGAATCAAGCATGGAACTCTTTAAATGTACTGTAGTGAATCAAGCATGCAACTCTTTAAATGTACTGTAGTGAATTAAGCATGCATCTCTTTAAATGTACTGTAGTGAATCAAGCATGCAACTCTTTAAATGTACTGTAGTGAATCAAGCATGCAACTCTTTAAATGTACTGTAGTGAATCAAGCATGGAACTCTTTAAATGTACTGTAGTGAATCAAGCATGGAACTCTTTAAATGTACTGTGGTGAATCAAGCAAGGAACTCTTTAAATGTACTGTAGTGAATCAAGCATGGAACTCTTTAAATGTACTGTAGTGAATCAAGCATGCAACTCTTTAAATGTACTGCAGTGAATCAAGCATGGAACTCTTTCAATTAGTTAAAATAAATAAATCCAAGTAACAAGAACCACTAATCCCATAATATTAATTTTTTTATATAAAATATATCTAACCTAACTTCATATGTGTACTGTTGGATATTTTTCATCTCTCCGAGATCCTCAAGTTCTTTTACTCTACCATTTAGTTTAACCAACTCCTTCGTAATATTCTCCGACTTACTCTGCAACCTCTCTTCGAACCTGGCCTTGCAGTCCTCCACTATCTCTGTGTTCTGCTCAAATACAGGTTTAATCTTCTGGGGCCAAGCTAGGGTGGTTGTATTCAGGTTTATATCCTCCTTGGAGAAGATGTGAACATCAATGAGGTAGAGGAGATGACCCTTGGAGCACTCGATCTCCTCCTTCAGAGAGTTCATCACCTTGTTCTTCACGTTCAACATATACTCACCCAGGTTAATCATCTCCTGGGTACTCTCCGGGGGCCTGCAAATATACTTTGTTTCAGGGCAGCATAGTGTAGACGAACTTTAGCTGAAGGATTGCCACAAACTCAAATTTTCTAAAACCTATATTTATGCAAACTGATTGTGTAAACCATAAATTTTTAAAATTTACACTTTATAATCTAGAACAACTCATATTTTGAATATCATAGTGTACGAAAACGAGTTGCAGAGACACAGAGATTAAAAAATTTAAGTTTGCGTCTAGAACTCAGTCCTGTTGTTTTTTAAATCTATATGTCTATATGGAGGTTGATTTAATTTAGGACGAATGCAATTTTTAGTATTGTACCAGCAGTTTAAGAGCAAGAAACGTTAGAAAGTAGAGCTGAGCAATCTGAATTGGTCCGTGTGTAAATGTATGGAGAGAAGGTTGAGTTACAAGGTTTCTCCCCTAATCCTGGAAATAATACCTTAGTGCTTTTTGTTCTATCTGGAGGAAGGATTGACAGATGTTTTCATTCTCTCCTCTGCAACAATTACAGAAGAAATATAAATAAATAAATAAATAAGTAAATAAGTAAATAAGCTAATAAGTAAATAAGTAAATAAGTAAATAAGTAGATTAAGTAAATAAGCAAATTAAGTAAAAAAGTTAATATTTAAATATGTAAATAAGTAAATTAAGTAAATAAATAAATATGCAAAAAAGTAAATATGTACATAAGTAAGTAAGTTCATTAAGTAAATAAGTTAATAAGTAAAAAAGTAAATACGTAAAGAAGTAAAGAAATAAATCAGTTAATAATTAAGTAAGCAAATAAGTTAATAAGTAAATAACTAAATATGTACATAAGTGAATAGAAAAATAAATGAATAAGTAAATAAGTAAATACGTAGATAAGTAAAGAAGTGAATAAGTAAATCAGTAAATAATTAAATAAGCAAATAAGTAAACCAGTAAATAAGTATTAAGTAAATAAGTAATTAAGTATCTAACTAAGTATCTAAGTAACTTAGTATCTAATTAACTACAGTAAATAAGTAAATGAGTAAATAAGTAATAATTAAATTAGTAAGTAAGTAATAAGTAAATAAGTAAATAAGTAAATAAGCAAATAAGTAATAAGTAAATAAGTAAATAAGTAAATAAGTAAATAAGTAAATAAGTAAATTAGATCGAAAAATCTGAAAGGATAGATAAACTAAAATAACTATAAAATAGATATATATAGATAAAATGATGCGATACAAAGTTAAGAAATAAATAGAATGACTGTAAGTAAAATGTAGCTAATTTACAGATAAATATGTAATTAAACGGAAAAAACTAATTTTTTTTTTTGATCCTAATATTGAGTGAAAAGAATAGTTTGGAATTGGAACTTATTTATATTTAAACGGGAGCAAACCTGTAAGTATCCACTACGTTCTTGAGAAGCGTATTGGAGAGTTTACGGGTTGCGTCCGCTAAACTCCTTCTCAGCTTCTCACAGTCCAATCTAAAGACAGATATCAGGACTAGTTTGGAGTGTAAGACCAGGACCAGTGTCCGAATTTAATGAATTTAAGCCGGGTCTCTAATTCCCCCAAAACCGGTTTCAATTGAGCGCCGGCTTAAATCTTGAAATAAGTAATACAATTTTAAGTGAAACCAACAATATTGAGCCGCGGCTTATATTTACCACCACATCTGAGAACTTTTAAATGCATAGAAAGACCTTACTGAAGTCTTATTGGTATGTATGTGAAAAGTAAGAGATTGGTTAGTTGGTTTGATACAAAAAGAGGAAATTTAATCCTTTCTGTACCAATAAACTTAATTCAATAAACTTATAATTCCGAGCGGTAAATACAACTAGTTTTAATAGGAATAGGAACAAATTTTTACCAATTTTTTAAATTTGTCAAAATATTTTAAATGTGGTTCGTTGGTTTTAACTTAATCAGAAATGAGATATTTGAAGAGAAATTAGAGTGCAAGGTTGGTTGAGCTAGCTTGGAGAATATAGATGGTTCCCGGCTCTACCATGGTATGTACTATGCATACATATAGTGCTTTAACAGGGTGAGATGGCAAAATCATTGTCATTATAATTCAAGACAAACTCTGTTTGATACCATGATAACTAAAAGTATCCAGAATTAATTTCTAAACTCTATTTTAAGTAAATGTACTTTTATAACATCTTTTTAAAACTAATAACGAACAAATACTCCATCTACAAATAATTTCTGACGTAAATTTTATTCCACCCCCTAGTGGATTTTTTATTTCTCCCCCTTTAGTATAAAGTTTGATATGTATCCGTCTAATAAAATGTATAGAACTGAGGTATACTGCCCCCCCCCCCGTACCTACTGTGCAGGGTAGATGAGAATACATAGTGCATACTTAATTCCGTTGTACTTAGGTTTAGGGTACGGATTTTCCCGTTTGGTAGTGTCTGTTCCGGTCTAGTTCTGGCATGTGTCTAGTTCTGATACCTTCGTTTCCAGTGTAGTTCTGATACACTGTGCTTCTGTCTATGTCTGGTATACTGTTCTTCTGTCTAGGTCTGGTAAATTGTGCTCCTGTCTAGGTCTGGTATACTGTGTCTAGGTCTGGTATTCTGTACTCCTGTCTAGGTCTGGTATACTATGCTCCTTTCTAGGTTGGTATTCTGTGCTTCTGTCTAGGTCAGGTATACTTTACTCCTGTCTAGGTCTGGTATATTGTACTCCTGTTTAGGTCTGGTATACTGTATTTCTGTCTAGGTCTGATATACTGTGTCTAGGTCTGGTATAATGTGCTCCTGTCTAGGTCTGGTATACTGTACTTCTGTTTAGGTCTGGTATACTGTGTCTAGGACTGGTATACTGTGCTCCTGTCTAGGTCTTGTATACTGTACTTCTGTCTAGGTCTGGTATACTGTACTCCTGTCTAGGTCTGGTATACTGTGCCTAGGTCTTGTATACTGTACTTCTGTCTAGGTCTGGTATACTGTACTCCTGTCTAGGTCTGGTATACTGTGCCTAGGTCTGGTATACTGTACTTCTGTCTAGGTCTGGTATACTGTAAAGAATAGAGTACCTGACAAAAGTAAAATATTCGAGGGATGATATCTCCTGTGTTTTCTCAACATGTCTGATATATTAAACATTCCTTGTATTACATAGAAATACAATAAACTGGATACTCTTTATATAATAACTCTTTAAATGTACTGTAGTGAATCAAGCATGCAACTCTTTAAATGTACTGTAGTGAATCAAGCATGGAACTCTTTAAATTAGTTAAAATAAATAAATCCAAGTAACAAGAACCACTAATCCCATAATATTAATTTTTTTATTTAAAATATATCTAACCTAACTTCATATGTGTACTGTTGGATATTTTTCATTTCTCCGAGATCCTCAAGTTCTTTTACTCGACCATTTAGTTTAACTCAAGATATCCAAGGTTTACACCATCAGGTTGCAAAGACATAGAGATTAGAAAAAATGAGTTTGTGTCAAAAACTCAAATATTATTGAAATTATTTCTAAAAGTTAACCTTGGGTTTTTTCTTGATGAAGTTTTCAATTTCCTTCCTTGCCCTGCCATCTATTAGAAAATCAAACTTCGCGTAAACCTTAAAAAAAATCTGTGATGTTCAGTTTTCAGAAACATTTTCAGGAACATTTAGATTTTTGAGTACTGCATAAAGTGTACGGTACTGCATAAAGTGTACGGTACTGCATAAAGTGTACGGTACTGCATAAAGGGTATCGTTGAACGGGTTTTAAACCCGGGTTTTAAAACTGGTTTTCACAACGATACCCTGTCTTAAGTTTTGGGCTGCATAAAGTCTACAATGTTGAATGAATGTAATCAAAGTTTTAAGCAAGACATTTTCAATTGCCACTTTTCAGAGAAACCGCAAATTAAATTGATCGGTTAAAGGGAGTGACCGGCTGTGTAATGTAGTTGAACTGATTGTGCAGTGTTGTGGAAAACTTCTTTTGGATTCATTTGAGACATATTAAACTTTTTAAAGATCTGTAAATCCTGAGTTTGAGCGCAAATTCGATGTTCGAAACTCCTACTTTGGGGGTGGATACGTTTTCAGAATTAGTTTTTTTAATTATTAAATAACGACGAAAATAAAATATAAAAAAGTTCTACAATAAACTACAGACGTCATGTAAAGGAACATGTTGAGAAAATAAAAATTAATCTTATCATCGAAAATAAGTATTCTTGTTCAATTATTAGTTTCTATTTTCTCATTATTCTGGTTTCTCATTAGTCACAAAGATTTTCACAGATTTTCTAGAATTATTATTGAAAGACGACATTTAAAGAATTTGTAGAAATCTGCGAAAAAAATTCAAAGAAGAAAAGAAATTCAATATAATAATGAAAACGAAATAATCGATTTTAGCATTGATTTATTGACCAATTTCTTTTGAGAAATAAGTTCCTAACCATCTAATTACTTTTCTAGTGAGAAAAATGATTTTGAAAAGATTCCGGTTTCTAGAGTACCGTTGTAAATCGGGCATTGCCATCTATCCATGTAGGGCCACTCAAAACTTCGTTTAAAATTTAGATTCTATTTAAAAAGTATGAATCTGAAAGAATTTAATTTTGAAAAGAATAATAAAGTCAAACCACATAAGTACTCCAGTATAGAACGTACAGGAAGAAACTTTGTTAACGATCTAAAACAATTATAAAGATTCTCAGGTTGAACTCGGTTTTCTGGATTATAAATATTCTTTAAATGATATATTAACTGGCATGTCCTAGGAAGAAACGAATAAACAGCTGCATGGAACCACGAATTAGTTAAAAAGGCTGAATAAATACACTCCAATCGTCTTTGAAGTTTTATCTTTTGTGGGTAACCATGTATTTGAGAATTTTTCTCTGGGTTGGGTTTTCAGCAGTGCTGAAAAGGTGTCTGGTTCCTTTACCTGTGCTGAGTAGGTCTCTGGTTTCTAGTTCCTATACCTGTAATGAGTAGGTATCTGGTTCCTTTACCTGTGCGGAGCAGGTTTCTGGTTCCTTTCCCTGTACTGAGCAGGTTTCTGGTTCCTTTACCTGTGCGGAGCAGGTTTCTGGTTCCTTTCCCTGTACTGAGCAGGTTTCTGGTTCCTTTACCTGTGCTGAGTAGGTTTCTGGTTGTTTTACCTATGCTGAGTAGGTCTCTGGTTCCTTTACCTGTGCTGAGTAGGTTTCTAGTTCCTATACCTGTGCTGATAAGGTTTTTGGTTCCTTTACCTGTGCTGAGTAGGTTCCTAGTTCCTTTACCTGTGCTGATTAGGTTTCTGGTTCCTTTACCTGTGCTGAGTAGGTTTCTGGTTTCTTTACCTATCCTGATTAGGTTTCTGGTTCCTTTACCTGTGATGATTAGGTTTCTGGTTCCTTTACCTGTGCTGATTAGGTTTCTGGTTCCTTTACCTGTGCTGATTAGGTTTCTGGTTCCTTTACCTGTTTTGATTAGGTTTCTGGTTCCGTTACCTGTGCTGCATAGGTTTCTAGTTCCTTTACCTGTGCTGATTAGGTTTCTGGTTCCTTTACCTGTGCTGAGTAGGTTTCTGGTTCCTTTACCTGTGCTGAGTAGGTTTCTGGTTCCTTTACCTGTGCTGAGTAGGTTTCTGGTTCCTTTAACCAATCCTCTATAGCAATCTTTATATCGGAGAGAGCTTTCTTGATAAAATCCTGAGGTTTCCCAACCCATCCTTTCTCCGTCCTAAGTTTGAAACTTGTCTCCGAACTTGAGATGGTTCTTTCTTTCATCTTTTATTCCCTTTTAGCAACAAGAAGCTGGAAGAATTAAAGAGTTCGGAGCTTACATTTAGGTTCAGAAATACTCAGAACTGAAAGAGACTTTTTACGAATTACTACTTAGGGTATCAGGGGACTGTACACAATTTTCTCAGACCTGAATGGGACTGTACACAATTTTCGCAGACCTGAATGGGACTGTACACAATTTTCTCAGACCTGAAAGGGACTGAACACAATTTTCGCAGATATGAAAGGGACTCTTTACTAATTACTTCTTAGGGTATCATGGGACTGTACACAATTTTAGAAGACCTGAAAGGGACTTTCTACTAATTTATACTAAGAACTTTTGCTACTTAGAACATAATAAAACTGTTTATGCAATTTTCCATTATTTAAAGGAACTAATTTCTAACTTTTTACTTAAAGGAGATTCTTTCCCATTAATACTCAAAACTTTAATTTGTCCAAATTCCCATTTTAATGAGATGAGCTTTTTTACTCAGATTTTCTGTTTTCTATGAATTTATGTTGGAAAGGCGCATGGAAAAAGTCTCCAGAAAAAAAACCTGGAAATAAAAACTTCGGTACAAAAGTTCCAATTTTCTGAAGTCCTAGATTCCTTTTTCCAATAAAGTCTCAGGAAATAAGATCACAGGAATTAAAGTCATAAAGAAAATATATCCAAAGAAAAAAAACCAAGAAAAAAAGTACTAAGTCTTGAGAAAATGAGGTCTCATAAAAAGTTATTTTCTGCTACGCATCTGCATATTGAATATAGTTATAGTATTTATTTTCAAACACAAAATACAAAATAATATGATGGTTCAGCTTAAAATAAAACACAAAAAAAAATTTATCATGAGCCAAATGAAAATATGATGTTTGATAATTTTGTTTGATCGTTTTTTTTGAAACAAAGTATACATATTGAAATCTCAACTAAGTATACATTCATTGTGCATTTACAAGTAGATAATTAGTCAGCACTTAAATAATCAAAACATTTTCAGGAATGCATTCATTGAACTTATAAATACATATTGATTCAGCCAGGGGTGTTTTTTATATAAATTGCCATTTTTTCCATGGTTGTAAACATCCTTTGTTCCCATGCATTTTTCGCTATAAGTGGATTTTTTTCTGGGGACTTTTCGTATAAAATCAAACTGGAACCAGAAAAAAAAATTCTAGAAAATAAAGTCTTAAAATGGTAGAACTTTAATTCCAGTGATTTTTTATTTCAAGGACTTTTTTCCGCAGGACTTTTTTGTGCCACAATTTTGGACTTTATTTCCGAAAACTTTTTTGAAAGAACTTTTTTGGCTGTTACCGTTTTCTACAGTGGTAAGCGATTATATCAATACAAAGAAGACGACTTTTTTATTTAAGTTTTGATTATTTACAAGCTTTTTACGAATTAAAGGTAATTATAAGTAAAGAAAGAGAAGACTTTTATATTGATAGATTCTCTTGACTTCTATATTTATGAGTTTAACAGCATGAATTAAATCAAAATTGAAATCGAAAGTCGTCTTCATTGTATTGATATAATCGCCTACCACTGTATATAAACAAGCCTGATAATTCTTTACTCTGAATTAAGATCCTAAAGAAAGGGTTCATAAAACCTTCTTTTTAAAGCATTTTAACAATTATGACTTCAAACACAAATGTAAATTGTCATTTATTTCTAGATATTTTAATTATTTTAGATATTTTAGATTATCCGTCACCTAGATCAAATCAGAGATATCATATTTATGTATCCAAATGCATAAGAATTCATTTTTCACTAATTTTGTGGAATTTTTAAAATGTGGCCAGGCCATTATTATGCGTTCAAAATTTTAGAAAATATAAGACAAGTTATAGCCAACATGTTTAAAATTTTGGAATTTTTCTATCGAACAACCCACATTTTGAAAAACACATATATTTATTCAAGCTTTCAAACACGATTATAAAATGTATTTGGGCACCCTCAACTATTCTAAAGTTATCTCCATCTGTTGCCAGGCGAAATTTATAAAATTATCCACACAGAGTAGAAAATAAATAGAGTGCTGCTAACTCCCAAAAGTGTAAAACCGCCATTTTGTTTAACTGTCACCGTACTGTAGGCGTGCTTTACACATGTGTGGTCTATAACCGCGTTGGGGCACTGGAACTCCTTTCAGAAAATGGTACCAGTACAAACGTCGGACTCACAAACCTAAGACTTACAAACGTCGGATAGTGCAAACGTCTGACCAGTACAAACGTCGGACTGGTACAAATATTCTCATCCCTATATCTTTGCAACCTGATGATATAAACCTTTGATATACTTTCAAGCTTAAATTGTTCGATCTTATAGATTTCATAGATTGAAATATCAAGGGTTGCAAAGTATAGGCAACACAACATCAGAGTTTGTGACAAGAACTCAACTCCTTTGTGTTCTGTTGTTTATGAAGTGCTACTTTCAAAGGATGAGAACTATTCAGTACCTTTGATTTTCACGATAAATGAGTGATTTTTAATTTATTTCTTATTACATCAATAGTTTTTTTTAAAAACTTAACCAAAGTCCGACGTTTGTACTAGTCCGACGTTTGAACTAGTCCACCCTTTGTCCCTGTCCAACGTTTGTACCAGTCCTACATTTGATCCAGTCCGACGTTTGTACTGCAGTCCAAGGTTTGTAAGTCCGACGTTTGTACTGTCCGACCTTTTTAGCGTCGGACGTTTGTTGGTCCGACGTTTGTACCGGTACCAAAAAAACAATTAACTTGAAAATGATTTTAAATCAAATATTGATATTATTTTACCTTGACACCTATAAAAGTTAGTTTTACAATTTAAAGGGACAGACCGGCTATGCAAGGTAGTTAAACTGAATAAGCAGTGTATTGGACAAATTCTTTAGGATTCATTTGAGACATATAAAACGTTTCCACGATGTAAAATTACTGAGTTTGAAGGCAAAGTCGACGTTCAAAATCATGAATTTGGGTGTTTACATTTTCAGAATTGTTTTATTTAATTATTAAATAACGACGACAAAAAATTTGAATGTTTAGGAACATAATTCTCAAAATAAATTTGTCAATAAATCGAGATTAGAATCAATTATTTCCTCTTCCATCATTATATTGAATTTCTTATTTTCTATGAATTTGTACGCGGATTTCTACAAATTCTTTGGACTTTATTTCCGAAAACNTGAATAAGATTACTTATTTTCGATGATGAGTTAATTTTTATTTTCTCAACCTGTTCCTAAACAACAAATTAGTTTACTGTAGAATTTTGTAAACATTTTTTATCGTCGTTAATTAATGATTAAAAAAGACAATTCTGAAAACGAGTCCACCCAAAAGTACGATTTTGAACGTCGACTTTGCGCTCAAACTCAGGATTAACAGATCTTTAAAAAGTTTCATATGTTTCAAATGAATCCTAAAGAATTCGTCCAGAACATTGCATACTCAGTTTAACTACCTTACATAGCCGGTCTGTCCCTTTAAAAAAGAACAGCTTGTAACAGATTGGCCAGGGATGTATTGTTGTGATGTACTCTGCGTCTAATACAGAGCGTCCCATATCATATTAGATTATCTCTAATCTTATAACGAAAAAAATAAACCCTTAATACTCGAAAAACTTATCATTTTCCGCAAGAAAATTCTTATATAAGCCTTATGTTATTTTTCAAATTGATTCATTCTAATTAAATTTTCTTATTAGTCCCGAAAATCGCAATTTAGACCCTTTGACGGTCTAATATGATGTGGGACACCCTGTATGTAAACATTACGAGAAATGTACACGTTGAACTCCTATTTAGGTCCAAAGGGGCTGAAAATATTCATACCGAGTGGGAACTCTTATTTCTCCTCTATAAATTCTCTGCTCTGTGATCATCCATTGTTCTGTTGTGTGTTACTAGGCAAGTATGAGATCTAATTAGAAGAGGAAGATCTTAAATACAGAATACACAGATGGATTTGGTTTTCATTGTTCCCCCTAAAAAGTGTACACCCATAGAAGAAAATTTTCCTTAATGGTTTTAGCTGCACTGCTCGGCTCCCTAGTCTATCCTTGCTGAGCTTGGCCGAAACCTACCTTCGCCGTGGGACAGATACATTGTTTGCATGTTACCAGAAACCAGATGTCAAGCTGTACAGTACACATTTAGAATTATCAAACCTTAATCCTTTAATCCTTTCTAGTCTCCGGATCCAATATCATGCACTATTCAGTATATAATATTACATATTGCATATATGACAGATGGAACCCATTCTCTCTAATAGCTTCTCTCTAACTCTCAATCACGGAGTATATAAACACTGAGAGGGATTTGAACCGGACTTGAACACATGATCCGTTTACGTCACAACAATGCAGTTATTTCCATTACCTCACAGTTGCTAATTTTCTGGCTATTACCGTCCTATTATTGAAATCCAATGAAAATACTTAAGACATTAATATCGACATCGTTCTAATGTGTAAACCCGAACATGGATAAGGTTGGGTTCCTTGTTGAGTGTGACTGGAACGAACTGGTTTGATGATCCTGAGATCCAGGATTGTATGGTTGGAACTTCTCTCAGGAGTTTATTCATCTCCTGTACTACTGATACGATCATATCCGTCACCTAGATCAAATCAGAGATATCATATCCGTCACCTAGATCAAATCAGAGATATCATATCCGTCACCTAGATCAAATCAGAGATATCATATCCGTCACCAAGATCAAATCAGAGATATTATATCCGTCACCTAGATCAAATCAGAGATATTATATCCGTCACCTAGATCAAATCTGAGATATTATATCCGTCACCTAGATCAAATCAGAGATATTATATCCGTCACCTAGATCAAATCAGAATCAAATCAGAGATATTATATTGATGTTTGTTAACTTCCGCGGACATATTGTCTTGCGACAACTTACCAAATGTCACGTCCCGTTGTCCTAATCACAAAGATCGACAGTTCAATATTTTGTTTGCAATTATTTCGCTTTCAATTTTTTTAAGACAGTAAAACTTTGATCTAATCGTTAATTGTTAAACTAAATATGCTTTTACTCCATAGTGTGATACTTTTACTCCATAGTGTGATACTTTTACTCCATAGTGTGATACTTTTACTCCATAGTGTGATACTTTTACTCTATGGTGAAGTTTATACTTGTACTCAATTGTTAAAACTCTCAGTTTTTATATACGTACTCTATGGCTTAGTAAACTGTCTGTATATACTTGTACTCAATGGTTAAAGTAAGCTGTCTGTTTATACTTGTACTCTATGGTTAAAGTAAGCTGTCTGTTTATACTTTTTACTCTATGGTTAAAGTAAACTGTCCGTATATACTTGTACTCTATGGTTATAGTAAACTGTCCGTATATACTTCGTACTCTATGGTTAAAGTAAACTGTCCGTATATACTTGTACTCTATGGTTAAAGTAAGCTGTCTGTTTATACTTGTACTCTATGGTTAAAGTAAACTGTCTGCGTATATACTTCGTACTCTATGGTTAAAGTAAACTGTCCGTATATACTTGTACTCTATGGTTAAAGTAAGCTGTCTGTTTATACTTGTACTCTATGGTTAAAGTAAACTGTCTGCATATACATGTACTCTATGGTTAAAGTAAGCTGTCTGTAAATACTTGTACTCTATGGTTAAAGTAAGCTGTCTGTTTATACTTATACTCTATGGTTGAAGTAAGCTGTCTGTATATACTTGTACTCTATGGTTAAAGTAAGCTGTCTGTTTATACTTGTACTCTATGGTTAAAGTAAACTGTCTGCATATACATGTACTCTATGGTTAAAGTAAGCTGTCTGTAAATACTTGTACTCTATGGTTAAAGTAAACTGTCCGTATATACTTGTACTCTATGGTTAAAGTAAACTGTCCGTATATACTTGTACTCTATGGTTAAAGTAAGCTGTCTGTTTATACTTGTACTCAATGGTTAAAGTAAACTGTCTGCATATACTTGTACTCTATGGTTAAAGTAAGCTGTCTGTTTATACTTGTACTCTATGGTTAAAGTAAGCTGTCTGTATATACTTGTACTCTATGGTTAAAGTAAACTGTCTGTTTATACTTGTACTCTATGGTTAAAGTAAGCTGTCTGTTTATACTTATACTCTATGGTTGAAGTAAGCTGTCTGTATATACTTGTACTCTATGGTTGAAGTAAGCTGTCTGTATATACTTATACTCTATGGTTGAAGTAAGCTGTCTGTATATACTTGTACTCTATATACACTCTAAATTAAAAAGCCGTAATTAAGCGATAAAAAGTTAAAAATTGTTAAGTAAACTCTCAGTTTTTATTTATGTAATCTATGGTTTAGTAAACTGTCTTTATATATAAATATGCATTCTATGGTTTAGTGAACTGTATGTTTATATTTGTAATCTATGGTTTAGTAAACTGTATGTTTATATTTGTATTCTACGGTTTAGTAAACTGTATGTATATATTTGAACTCTATGGTTTAGTAAACTGTATGTATAAATTTGTACTCTACGGTTTAGTAGACTTTCTGTATATATTTGAACTCTATGGTTTAGTAAACTGTATGTATAAATTTGTATTCTACGGTTTAGTAGACTTTCTGTATATATTTGAACTCTTTGGTTTAATATACTGTCTTTATATATTTGTACTCTATGGTTAATTTAATAGTCTGTATATATTTTTACTCTATGGTTTAGTAAACTGTCTGTATATATTTACACTTTATGGTTAAGTAAGCTGTCTATATATATTTGTACTCGAGGTTTAGTGAACTGTCTTTATATATTTGTACTCCATGGTTAAGTAAACTGTCTGTATGTATATGTACTCTATGGTTAAGTAAACTGTCTATATGTATATGTACTCTATGGTTAAGTAAACTGTATGAATATATATATACTCTCCCAATACATAATCTGAGAAGTAAGTAAGCTCCAATAGAGTTATTACTAAGATCAATCATACATTACATATATATTTACAATATATAAATATAGTGCTCAGTGATTTTAGAAACATTGCTGATGACATGAAGATAAAAGATGAAAAAAAAACTTTTTTAACCAAAAAGAAATTAGAAATGCATACAGTTATCATAACTATATATAAAGTAGTAATCTCTGGTTTTTTGGATGTCGGGCCATAAAACTAATCTCTATTTGTGTTTGTTTGTTTGTATGTCCGATCAAAAACCCCTACACTGATTGAGAAGTTAATGACAAGTAGAACCGCAGAAATCTTTTTTAAATTTGTTTTAAAGTTCTCAGTTTAGTAGTTTAACTTTAATAAGGAAATTTAGCTTCCAGGCAGAGCTGGGTTCCCAGGCTAGGATCTGTATGTAAACACAGAAAGAAAACATATACTCTGTATTAAATAAAAGAAGTTGGATAGTGGTCAATATCTAACTCCAGTCTGTTTCTGACTTTTACAATTTAGATTACAATTCTCTCTTATACTCTACAATCATAGAGAATAGAATATATAGAGAGGAATTTAATTATATGTATCTATATATCTATGTATCTATGTATCTATTTGTCTATGTATCTATGTATCTATGTTTCTGTGTATCTATGTATCTGTGTATCTACGTATCTATGTATCTATGTATCTATGTATCTGTTTATCTATGTATCTATGTATCTATGTATCTTTGTATAATGTATCTATTTGTCTATGTATCTATGTATCTATGTTTCTGTGTATCTATGTATCTGTGTATCTATGTATCTATGTATCTATGTATCTATGTATCTATGTATCAATGTATCTATGTATCTATGTATCTATGTGTCTTTGTATCTGTGTATCTATGTATCTATGTATCTTTGTATCTATATATATATGTATCTATTTATCTATGTATCTATGTATCTATGTATCAATGTATCTATGTATCTATGTATCTATGTATCTATGTATCTATGTATCTATATATCTATGTATCTATGTATCTCTGTATCTATATATCTATGTATCTATGTGTACCTCTGTACAGGTTGGAGAGAACTCTATTCTCTTCCCTGAAAGAACTAACTCCATCTCAATCCTAAACAAAAATCCCAGGAATTAATGGAAACTTGTAAGAACAGGTTTTTATAATCAAGACTCTTCAGACAAGTATTCAAAGAGGGGCGAAGGTTCATTCCCCCCCCCCCTCCTCCCCTCCATTCGAAGTTCAATGGAAAAGGAAGCAATGGAATTGGAAAAACAACTATTGAACTACAAAGAGATTATTACACTAGTTAGAATAAAACAGAAGGTAAGGGGGGGGGGGTGTTAAATTAGCGTAAAGTAAACTTTTTGAACTGAGGTTTATTATTAACAAAAAGCATTTTGAAAAAAGTTTTAAAAAGCTACCTCGGAAGGGTTCTGTGATCCTGGAAGGCTTGAACATAGCTTGTAATACTTCTCATCAATAGATCCCTTAGCTGTATAGAGAGTAGAGCAGAGACACAGCTATAAAAGCTCTTTAACCTTTCCCCCTGAAAAATATAAAAACTCTTCAACCTCTCCCCCTGAAAAATATAAAAACTCTTCAACCTCTCCCCCTGAAAAATATAAAAACTCTTCAACCTCTCCCCCTGAAAAATATAAAAACTCTTCAACCTCTCCCCCTGAAAAATATAAAAACTCTTCAACCTCTCCCCCTGAAAAATATAAAAACTCTTCAACCTCTCCACCTGAAAATTTGTAAAACACTACAACATACCTTCATTACAAAGAAAAAAAGACTTAGAATGGTTTAACACACTAGTAACTATTGGATACCTTTTAATCCTTTGGTTATATTAGACTGGTTGAACTCACTAGTACCTACTGGATGCCTTTGATCCTTTGTTTATATTAGATTGGTTGAACAAACTGGTAACTGCCGGATACCTTTGATCCTTTGGTTATTTTAGATTGGTTGAACAAACTGGTAACTGCTAATTACCTTCAATCCTTTGTTTATATTAGACTGGTTAAACACACTAGTAACTGCCGGATACCAGGAGGTTAGAAGGGTCTCCTCTGTTTTCTCACATTCACTTTAAATATTATAGATATTTAGAAATGATTCTAATAACCCTACTTCTACAACTACTCGTAAATCTCATACTATTAATCCTACTCCTCATCCTTTTTCTAACCCTAATAATCCATTTTAATATTCTTCTTCTAACTAGTATCATCCTACTCATGTTCCTCCCATCCTAATCCTCTAACTCCTTATCCCTCCCATCCTATCCCTCTAACTCCTTTTCCTTCTTATTATCCTAATAAACCTACTTCTTATTCTTCATCCTACTCCTTGTCCTTATACTACTCCTTATCATCCTTCTCCTTGTCCTTATACTACTCCTTATCATCCTTCTCCTTGTCCTTTTACTACTATTTATCATCCTACTCCTTGTCCTTCTTCTACTCCTTATAATCCTTTTCCTTGTCCTTATACAACTCCTTATCATCCTACTCCTTGTCCTTCTTCTACTCCTTATAATCCTTTTCCTTGTCCTTATACAACTCCTTATCATCCTACTCCTTGTCCTTCTTCAACTCCTTATCATTCCACTACTTGTCCTTCTTCAACTCCTTATCATTCCACTACTTGTCCTTCTTCAACTCCTTATCTTACTACTCCTTGTTCCTCTTCAACTCCTTATCATCCTACTCCTTGTCCTTCTTCAACTACTTATCATTCCACTTCTTGTCCTTCTTCAACTCCTTATCATCGACTACTCTTTTTAAGGGTTGCTTCACTTTCTCCTTTTCTCTCTTCTCCTCTTCAGGGTTCCGAACCAGCATATTCACAATACCTGAACCAGAACCAGGATCATACCAGTGAAATGCATACCCGGAGATCAACCAAACCCGTCTTTCGAGTATCAGGATTATTCCAATATATCTAGAGGAGTCAAGTTTAATATACTATATCTATAGAAGTCAGGTTTAATCTAATATATCTAGAGGAGTCAGGTTTAATATAATATATCTAGAGGAGTCAGGTTTAATATAATATATCTATAGAAGTCAGGTTTAATATAATATATCTAGAGGAGTCAGGTTTAATATAATATATCTAGAGGAGTCAGGTTTAATATAATATATCTAGAGGAGTCAGGTTTAATATAATATATCTAGAGGAGTCAGGTTTAATCTAATATATCTAGAGGAGTCAGGTTTAATCTAATATATCTAGAGGAGTCAGGTTTAATATAATATATCTAGAGGAGTCAGGTTTAATCTAATATATGTAAAGGAGTCAGGTTTAATTTAATATATCTAGAGAAGTCAGGTTTAATATAATATATCTAGAGGTTTCAGGTTTAATATAATATATCTAGAGGAGTCAGGTTTAATATAAAATATCTAGAGAAGTCAGGTTTAATATAATATATCTAGAGGTTTCAGGTTTAATCTAATATATCTAGAGGAGTCAGGTTTAATCTGATATATCTAGAGAAGTAAGGTTTAATAAAATATATCTAGAAAATAAGGTTTAATCAAATATACATCGGACTCTCATTAATCTCTAAATGTTTAAACCAATTTTTCAAAAGAATTTAGAAATTCCTCTGAGATTTATGGCAAATGTAAACTTCCATTTATTTCAATTTTACTGCAAGATTAAATCATTTTAGTTTGTTTTGTTATTTTTAGAACTAATTCTACAGGGTGTCCCACTAAACATGGGATTCAGTTACGATTTTGATATCGTCTTTGTAAATTATTTTTCGATTTAGTATGGTGATGCCTAATATTAAAGTGATAATTCGTTTCATAGAGTTCAGAATTTTTTAGTTTACGTTTTTACTGCATACGGTGCTGTGCTTAACAATTACAGAAATTCGTGTATACAAACCTGATACAAATATAGTACAGTTGTTCCTCTGCACTGTTTATCTTGCAGAAATTTTACAGAATATCATACAAAGTTTTGCAGAATAACAAACCAGTGTTTTACCGTTTTCATAAAATATACTCTACTTCTAGCAGACGTAACTTTATTATGACCATTGAAATTAGTTAACAAAGCGCTATTTCTTAAGAAAGACGATTTCGAATTCGAATTGTAGTTGTATCTGGTTGTATCGCAGCAGTCCAAGTTTATGATGTTAATCCAAGCGTGAAAATAAATCTTTCAAAGTTTGAAAGTTGTGAAAGTTCTCCTGAGTCCCTGGTACGGAGCTGAACCTGTCCTAGGCTGACACATTTTCAATAAATGTTGAAACCATTCTCTCCGCAGTAATCTTATATCCACACCAAGATACCAGGATACCAGGACAAGATAGTATAGGACAGGAAAATATGTTTTTCAGAATAGGGCCAGGTTGCTTTAGATATAGAATAATATAGTTTTAGATCAGGACAAGTTAGAAAAGCACAGCTTTTAAATTAGGACAAAAAAGTTTTTTTAGGACAAGATACTTTTATATAAGGACAAGATTGTTTCAAATTACAGGGCAAGGTTGTTTCAGAGTTGTACAGGATAGTTTTAGATTAGGGCAAGCTGATTGTTTCAGATTAGGACAGGATTGTTTCAGATTAGGACAAGATTGTTTTAGATTAGAACAAGATTGTTTCAGATTGGGACAGGATTGTTTCAGATTAGGACAAGATGGTGTTTAGATCAGGATAAGGCAGTTTCACTGAGATTTTCAAAATAGGACAATCTTGGTTCATTTCAGAAATGTTGGAAGAGATATGAACAAAAGGTAAGGTGGGACCTACGGTGGTAGGCGATTATATCAATATAATAAAGACGACTTTCGATTTCAATTTTGATTTATATCAATTTTTTAAACAGTATGGATACCCAAAAACATAGAATAAAAGAGGTTGCTGTCAATTAAAAAGCTTCCCTTTATTTACTTGTAAACATGGACTTTGAAAAAAGCTTGTTTACAATTAAATCTTAAAAAAAATTCGTCTTCATTGTATGGATATAATCACCTACCACCCTATAAAACTGTGGAATAGGAGGAAGACTGTTAGATTCATGAGTTAAGATTTTGAAAAGTCACATAAACATAAAACACGGCAATTGTCCTTGAGTGTGTATATAGTGTACAAAGCGGTGTTAGGTACTTTCCCAAAGATATTTTCTCGAAGGCGACTTCCCACGTGACAATTTCCCAAGTGGCTACTTCCTAAATGTGCAATTTCCCAAGCGGCAACTTCCAAAGGGTTAGGTTAGGCCATCTGAGGCGCCGCAGGCTGCAATGGTGGACGAGCGCTGTGGCTAGGATGGGCTAGGGGCCGAGCGCCTCGGCTAGAACAGGCTGAGGGCCGAGCGCTGCGGCTAGGACAGACTTGGGAAGTTCCCGCTTGGGAAATGGCACATTTGGGAAGTTGCCACTTGGAAAAATACCCTTGGAAAGTTGTCACTTGGGAATAATCCTTTGGGAAAGTACCTAACATCTACAAGCTACCCTTCACAGTAAGTTGATTTTCAAACTATTGAAATATAACAACGTCAAATACAAAAAAACACTTAAACATCGTCTTCCTCTGTGTTGTGGTTCTCATTGTATCACCTGTTCTAAGACTAATAATATATTCTGCTGACGCTTCCTCTAGAAGCTTATTAACACATGAGGGATATCTTTCTCTTAGTTCCGAGCATAGGTTGAGGGTTATCCTCGTCAATGTACTCTTCTCTATTGGAGCAATAGGAGACTTTTCCGCGCATTTCCTGGATTAATAAGATTGTTATAAATGTCGTCTTCTTGATAAGGGTTTTTTGTACCTCAGAAGACCAATATAATGTTCTTGAGGAAATACTGGGAGATCTTCTTCCGGTCTTGTATGAGTATTATTTTGTTTCCGGTTTCGGATGGATTTTGCTCGATTCTTTGCAGCCTGAACCTTTATCAACTCCTACAAAAGAGGATCCAGTAAGATCCACATTTTTGATTTGTTAGATTTTTTATTATAATCTCAAATTACCTGAACCTCTTTCTTCTTTTCCCGTTCTCTCCTGATAGACCAACAAGGATAGATCTTTTAGTTTGATTATTTGGGCAAAAAGATTTTCTTTTTGGAAAATACAAATCATGCTAATTATTTTATAGCGCTTTAAGAAAATTTCATTAAAGATTTTATAGAAATAGAAAAGTTAGGGAATAATTGGCCGTTCCGTTTAACACTTGAAACTTGTATTAACTTGTATTGTGTTAAGGTCTATATACTTATATTATGGTCAACATTTGACATAGTATAAGAACGGCAACATTATTTATTCTTAAGATTTTCTTTTCTTACAATTAAAATCTCCAAAAACGACTCTGGTTAATGGTTTAACGATCATTTTGGTCATTGTGTATTATCCAGTGTTCCCTGTAGGTGAGAAGAGGGTGGTTTTTGTACTTGTCTCTCTTGAAGAGATTAGGATCAGGGGGAGGAGGGAGATACGGTACACCGGGTACACGCATCCTGAAGTACAATAATGTAGTTTACATTACACTAGGTACACATATTCTGCAGTACATGATATAGTTTACGGTACACCGGGTACACGCATCCTGAAGTACAATAATGTAGTTTACATTACACTAGGTACACATATTATGCAGTACATGATATAGTTTACGGTACACTGGATACACGTATCCTCCAGTACATGATATAGTACACATATCCTGCAGTACATCATATAGTTTACAGTACACCGGGTACATACATCCTGCAGTACAATACTATAGTTTACAGTTCACCGGGTACGCACATCCTGCAGTACATAATATAGTTTACAGTACACGAATCCTACAGTTTATGGATGGTATGAACAGAGTACAATATATCATTTAGTACATAATATAATTTACGGTACATCCGGTACAAATAATATGCAGTTAAACCCTAAATATTAAATACATCGAAAGAATTCATCAATTGCAGATATTTAGTTTTTTAATTAAATGATTATTTGGAGCTCTATAAAAATGTTCCCGCATATTCATGGATATTTATTTATTTTCGCAATTACTGAGATTTACGTAAAATAGTATAAAACCCATTAAAAATTGTCAAGACGACATTTCACAAATTTTTTCGATGTATGGCTGATTTAGGGTTTAACTGTAGTAAATGAATAGTTTTAATTAAGCTATTCTATTACTCTCTATTCTAGATTTGTTCATTCTATTCTATTAGATACTAACTGAGGTGCATGGCGTTGCCCGTGGAATTAAAGAAAATTAGATTTTTTTGCCTGTATTACCCCCGGGATACCCCTGGGTGCCCTAAAAAAATGTCAGTCCATTCGGTCCAGCCGTTTGGCCGGCTATAGGGAACATGTATACGAATGTCTTGTTTTATTATATAGATATTCGAATTCTTTTCTTTTATACAGTTTAACTCAGAACCTTGGGGAAATCATTGTTTGGTGGGGTTTATTCTATTATACCTAAATCTTAGTAATTGTATGAATAAAATAAATAAACAGCTATTATGCGGGAACATAATTATATAATTATTCAACTAAAAACTAAATATCTCCAGCATTCCATTATCAGTAGGTTAACAAAACGACGATATGTTGGCCAATAGATGTCTCATGCTAAATTCTTATCTGATAGATAGATAATTTCTCCGTACACTTATAGGAGACGTCAAGGACGTCAAGTTGTCGACCAATGTAGTTTATGGAAGGAACGGCCTCAGTCCAAAGTAGGAATGCAAAGGTTGGCCCAGCTTGGATATTCAAATGTACATCGACCGGTGGAGCGTGGTTTATCTATTCATCAAATGTACACCGACCGGTGGGGCGTGGTTTATCTATTCAAATGTACACCGACCGGTGGGGCGTGGTTTATCTATTCAAATGTACACCGACCGGTAGGGCGTGTTTTATCTATTCAAATGAACAACGACCGGTGGGGCGTTTTTTATCTATTCTTTCGATGTCTGCAAAGTTGTGTTAAACTGTATTTTATTCTATTCATTTCGTTTCCAATCTTCTTTATTCTAAATAGATTTATCATATTCAACTTCTTTTCTTTTTTGACCTGTTAATAGCCGCTAAACCTAGCTCCTTCTCTTCAACATTATTTACAGATCTAAACAGAATGCGCAGTAATGATAATGATGAAAATGGCGAAAACTGTATAGTCGCTCTTTTTTGATTTTCTATTTTCCATCTTAGATGTTTTTAGTTTGCCATCATTGATTCACAAAAGTACTCTCCAAATCATTATCAAAATAAAGAAGATGGATATTACCTCCTTTTCCTGTCCATTAATATTTGGCCACAGCAAACTAATTACGTTCAGAAAATTTTTAATTCCAAGACTAGTCAGAGCAAGAAAATAAAACAATTTATTATTCCATTATTTGAAAAAGTGTCTCTTAATTCTAATTACTAGCCTTGGTTTGCCAAACCGAACCCGGGATTGGGAAATTCTCCCTTCCTCCTTTCTACTCCGGGTCCCGTCCTGAACTTTAGGGCTGTCCATCTTCTCCTTAACTCAGGGTACCAGACACCATGGACAAGGAGGAGTAAACCTATCTTAAATGAAAAACTTTATGTTATACGCATATATTTATTAAAGTGAGTGTTTAAGCGTAATTTCAAGTGATTCTCCATGAAAAGATTGAATGTCCGATTCACAACGGTACCCTTGAAACCTTTCTTTGATCAACAATGTGGAAGATATTGTCGGTTTTCTGGAAAGTGTTCATGTCCTTAAAAGTCTTTATTTTTTCCTTCAGTTTAGAAACGCGCCAGTCAATATTATGTAGAGAAACTACGATTTGAATTAATCAGTTTTATATTATAAACATCAGACATTGCTTTTAAGGGTATTAAATTGGTATTCAATTGCATTGCCATCTTTCCAGGGAGATTTGGTCATTTCAAATTACGCTTACAGTCCTTTTTCAGTTAAAAATATTATTACATTTCATATAAATCGAATGTTATGTGTCTGTCTTTGGGTTTGTATTTTTTACAACATATTGAGCCAAAGATAGTTTTGTATGAGGGATAACATAGGTTTAGAACTATGTCCCCTTCAAACATTAAAAAACAATTTTTAAACTTGCATTTTTTGTTTTTTGATATAGTCAAAATATTCACAGATAAACAAAGAAAAAATTCATGACATGATAAATTTTCTAATTCTCCAAAACAGAGGTTTCTCTCTTTCAAAGCAAGTTTAAAAGCTGTCTGCCAATTTGTAACGAAAGAATCACATTTATAACTTTATGAGAGAGTTAATTAGAACCTCTGTTTAGCAAATGTTGCAACATTACCTAACTTTTTGAACCATCCCTTAGGGAACGTACCGGCTAAACTGAGAGTGGTTTAGATATATAGATATAGTGCATAGTACAATTATCGACTAAACACCGAACTAGCAGTTGGTAACTTGTATAGGGTAGTGTGTGATACCTAGAGGGAATCTAGAGGGGGGGGGGTGAAAATAGTCCCAGACCATACAAAACAAAATATATTTATCTTTAACTTCACATTTTTTACAAATCCGCCAAAATGTGATCGAAAAATCTTCAAACTTTCAGTTAAAGATTTACTATACTGAAGGAGCAGGCATGAAGCATCATGTATAGTACAGGGTGTCCCACATCAAATTAGACATTAAGGTGGCCACAGCGCTTGGCCAACAAGCCTGTTCATTTAAATTTTAAACCTTGTTTATAAAAACTTTTAACTCTTTTCTCTCATAAGTCCTAGTTCCTTTAAACCTCCATGGTCCTTTCTTCTACAAATGCAATATCAGGGAGAGCTGGGGGGGGGGGGGGCACATCCCTTTCTACAAGAAATTAGCAAACTTTTAATATCAAAAACATTAGTAAAATTTGTTCAATTATTTATTTCTGTAACAATTCAAAATGGATAACTTAAAAGTTATTCATTTTTAAACAGTATTAGCTTAGTATTTTTGTGCCTGATTCCAGAATTGGGCACAAACTTTTTGAGTTTGCAAAAATGGCGAAGTCTCGTTGTGAAATATATAGCTGCAAGTTTTTTCACTATTTTTGTTCGGTGATTTTTCGCGAATTTAGATTCATGGTCATTAAGTTCAGAGAAAACTTCTGGTTTCACGCTTTCCATAATAGAAATCAACATCTTTTGAAAAAGAAACTTTTCTTCTGCAACATTCTTTGTAGAAAACATTAGTTCAATCACTTATTTGCAGTTTTTACTACCTTTATCACATTAGAATTTGCTTTGGTCAGACCACCGCGATTTTTCAATTCTATAAGTTTACAAGTATCCGGGAACTTTTCATTTTCTAGATGCATCAAGCATAAATGACAGCTTTCATTGACAATCAAGCGTTTCTGTATATACTCAGAAATATAAGTCAAAACATTATCTTTGTATTCAGAGCTCTGATCTAGATTAACAAGAAGTTTAATCCACTCAGAATCTGATTTATCTACTGGAGGATATGCTTTATCAACAGCTACAGAAGTTTTTTTGTATTGCTGGATAATTTCGTCAGCAATAGATCCATTTTCTGAAATTTCTTCAAAGCTAGAGGTGTAAAGTTCTTCTTTAGATTTTCTCTTGTTGTTGGCTGAAACAAAAAAATTGCAATGTCTAAAATTAACAAAATTCAGCACAAATTTTAATTTTTAAAACAATATAGAAAAAAATTACTAAGAAATATTTGTGCACGCTTATACCCAAAATCATGAAATTGTAAGTAAAAATACGGGATAAAAATTCTTTTACAATTTAACAATCGTTTTAATGAATTTCTAGTAATACCTGACTCAGGAGGAAAAGAGCTACTCTGAGGTATATGAGAACTCCTCTGTAGGAGAACAGAACTCATCTGAGGTAGAACAGAACTCCCCTGAGGTAGAACAGAACTCCCCTGAGGTAGAACAGAACTCCCCTAAGGTAGAACAGAACTTCTCTGAGGTAGAACAGAACTCCCCTGAGGTAGAACAGAACTCCCCTGAGGTAGAACAGAACTCCCCTGAGGTAGAACAGAACTCCCCTGTAGGAGAACAGAACTTTTCTGAGGGAGAGCAGAATTACTCCGAGAGGGAACAGTGCAGTGGTAGGCTGTTCATGACTCAGAAAAATGTCTAAAAAAATATGAATGAAATATTAAAATACATTTTTAAAACAATTTCAGTTTAAACCTTCTCGATGATATTAAGATATTGAAGCCCCCGTTGTTCTGTGGAAAAATTCGTTTACGAACCAAATAATTTAGGGTATTTTAAGGAATACAACAATATCTTTTAATCTAAAAGTGTTTAGAATCGTGATAACTAATTAGTGCAGGGTTTGGATATTTAGGAAAACTCAGAAAATTTCAACAGCCTCAGATCAAAACTTTTTGAGTTATGTTAAAAAAAAACTACAGGGGGGTCTAATTGCCCCCTCCCCCCAACAGGAATAGGGTTAAGCTACATGAAGTGATAACCAGAAAACTCAGGAATAGTAAGACGATTCTGAGGATAAAAAGTTCAGAAACCATGAAACACAGCAATTGTGCAGTGTAAACAGACCCATTTCACACAAAAAAATCTAATTGTCTGGTAAAATTATTTGCTTTGTAGCACCATCAAATACACTTAAGTATTAATATAATGTCGTCTTCCTATTTCATTGTTTTCTTGTTATCACTGTATATAAAAGTTACATTATGGAAAAATAATTGATTAGTAAATATAAAATCAGTTGTCACATGTTTTTATTTAACAACAACAAAAAAATGTAACTTTTAACATATTCCAGGCCTTTTTAAGGGGGGCGGGTAGGGCGGGTCGTCCCCAACTGGACCCCTTCATAAATTTAAAGCAGCCAGCCTTTATAGGGTTGAATGAAATTACATTTATATTAAATCATTCATTAACTAAATAAGCAGGGGCGGATAAGGGGGGGGTGTAGGACCTTCTTACCCCCCTGAGGGATTCAGGGAGGGGGCGTATCCCCTCCTCCTGAGATTTCAGAATAGCTCCTCAATAGCACTTAAGGGAAGGAAAACCTAGTGCAATACAGGAAAATCTAGCACCCCCCAGACTCACCCTCTCCATTATCTAGCTGTTCCTGTTGATGTGGATGGTGGGGAGGATGGAGACTGGGAACACCGTTTTAAATTAACTTTCGTCCGGAAGCGTATTTGTTTTCAAAATGTTTCGCACAGACAACACTAAATTTTCCCGGAGTCCAGAAACTTGGCCTTCCTGTGAAGTTACTCCACGTTTTTTTCAACTTTTCATCTTTTGGAAAAGAATGAAATCTTATCTTGTATGTTTGATCCGTGTTACAATTTAACACTGAACAATGCCTCATGCTTTTTTATACTGAGAAATCATGTAACTGATCAAAACAAATCCCCCCAAGAACAGTGTACTACATGTACACAATAACATACCAATACATGTTCACAATGTCACACCAATACAGGTGCCACCTGTTATTCTAAAGTATATATATTCTGAGATTTTCAAACATAATTTTCTTTTATCCATCTATGATTTATTTCATAAGATTTCAAGATCTAATAATAATTTTATTGCACCAAACTCTAAATCATAATAAAACACACTTTGCTGCCTTTTTCTTGAAGTCCTTGAAGTTGGTGATTTGACACCAGACAACCTTTCCTGTATTTTCCAAGAAGTCATGGAAAAATTATGAAAAAGTAAGACGACATTTATTATGTGTAAGAAAATCAAATCTGAGATGTCGGGGAATAAAACTCAAAAGTTCAACATTTTAAGGTTTTAGATTTTCAAATTTTACTCGATCCTCCTTACACAACAATAATAAAAGAAATTGTTTTTCTTAGTACGTTGAAATAAGAGCAATCTTTGTCAATGAATAGGTAAGCAATAGGTATGTATTTGATGAATCAGGGAAAGCACGTTGTGGACCTCAATATTAATGTCATAGAATACATTTTTGATTGGCCCTAGGTGGAGACTGTGCACTTCGGCTTTTCTTATTTCAATCTGATTTGTTCAATCAAATTTTATTCAAAATTCAAACAGGAGAAAAATAATTTCAAAATTAGATATTCCAGAGACCAGTTGTTTTAATTTTTGATCAGAAGTTCACCCCAATAAAAGACTCAATATAGAGTATATTAGAGTACTTATCACATATCTATATGACTATACTTTAATTGTGGACAGAAAACCACCCTCGTCGTACATATCAATTCAATGAAGACGACTTTGAATTTAGATTCTGGATTTCCACAAAGCTTTTAAACAGCATGAATATACATAAACCTGGAAACAAAGAGACACTGTCAATAAACAGCTTCTCTTTGTTTACTTGTAAACTTGAAATTTGATAAAATCTTGTTAGAAAGCAAAACTTAAATCTTCCAAACTGTTCAGAAATAAAGATTATAAAATTAATCTTCATTGTAAACCACATGAACGACATTAATCGTATTACAATATATGGGAAAAAAGAACAATGTTTCTATCTATCTCGTGAAGACGACCTAAACCAATTAAATCCAGGAAACAGTTCAACAAGTTGATCTTTAGTTAACCTCACTAGTTTTCTCCTATTCTTTAGACTCAGAAGTATAATACAAAATCTGTTTTATAGAACTTCTTCTTGATCTATTATTGATTATACCTTCCAACAATCCTTTAATTTTGTTATAACAATACTTAATTCAAGTTTTAAACCAACAACAGAAGAGTCAAAAAATGAACTTTTTTCACATAATAATCTAGCCAGAAAGAGTATATTTTGTAGGTTTGTCTTACCGGATTTCTAAAATTTTAAAAAATAAAATAGGGAATGAAGTATTTTTATCATTAATCAACGTGATCCAGCTCAAATTAATAATATTTCAAAATTATTTTTGTTTCTACATATGTTACATGTTAATAACACTACCATGCTCAATTTTCTTTACGCAAAAAAAGTATAATAAGTTTATGTATCTCAAACAAATTTTTAATTAAAAAAGAATTTTATTGATTTTTTTTATAAAAATACATTAAAATTAAAGGAGTAACTAGAGAGTAAAGGATAACTAATCTGGGAAGGTCCAGATACTGAGAGGAGCAAGGACTAGATATTATCCGTCCCGGCCTACGCAATTTATTCTACAACGGAGCTAGTTTCATGGTTCTAGGAGTACTTGGAGTAAATGGAGTACACAATACTCTGATGATGGATGGTTCAGGTCAGGTCAGTCAGGTCAGAGAACGGTACAGATATCGCTAACCCTGCTCCAGGTACAAAGGAAACCTCAATCAGCCTGGTTTCCAATGTCGGAGCAGGAGATAGAACCAAGGAGGAGATATTTACGAAACATGCAACATTTCTTATTTACAATACATGGTTAGAGTACAGTAGAGAAGTGAATATTAATTACAAATTGCAGGAACAACTCTAGACGTTTTAACAGATTTAAAAAAACAAGCAGAAACTTTAAAGAAATGTAGTTTTTTATAAACGAGTACAATATAAAGGTGCGGGGGGTCGAACAAGGATAACAAAAACAAACATAAAACAGGTTTACGCGAATAACAACAACTTTTTCGATTCAAATCGAGCTTCGTTGGATGACTGAAGTCCGGAACTTCCGGTTTTGCTCAGTGTTCAGGATATCAGTTGAGACAATCTGAAGGTTGGATGAGGATAAGGACGAGAGAATCCTATCCTGCAAAGGGGATGGGGGTCTGGTACAGGCTGGAATGATGACATGGAGACCTGGAGTAGTATTGAACATGATACAGTTAAACCTCTCCTGCGTCTTCCTCTTCCTCCTCCTCCTCAACCTGCCTCTCCTTGTAGAAGATCTCCTCGGACTCCCTGTCGCAGATTAGCAGGACGACAGATGCAAAGATTAGAATGATGGATCCCCAGGTTGCTCCGTATCCGAACCCGAAAGAATAAACTCTCCTGGCTCCTAAAATAAAACAAAAAGTTAGGAATAATCAAAAAGATGAATTTAATCATAACACTACTTTTAATGATATTTTTTCATAGAAAAAATTTTAAAAGTGTTGTAGTAGACTCAAAAAACTTGATTTATACCTTAATCTTTCATTTTTAGATGTTAGTTCAAACAAACTCTAGACAAACGATGTTATGTTTTAGTGAGTCAGGGGAAAAATAACACTATTATTTTAACAGAAAACGAACACACTGGGTTATCCGCAAAGTATAAAACTTTAAAGTTGATTGTGTAGATTTTATTAAAATCTTTAAAATTTTAATCAAATATTCAAATTTTCCAATACCTCTATCTTTACCACCTAATGGTCTAGACCTTTGATATTTCAAATTTAGATTATTTGATCTAACAGATATCAGAGTTTGAAATATCTTAGGTCTACGACATTGGGTTGCAGATAAAGGGATTAGAAAATCAGAGTTTGTGGCAAAGATTAAATTCCTTTAATTGGGTACATAAATTCAAAACTTCTTTGTTTTTCTCAACAGTTTCATAAGAGAAAGTATGATTGAAATTATGTAAGATTTTATTCTAACATGAAATCTATTTTAATTAGACGTGGGTTCTCCGTTCTCTGAAACTGTTACCTTATCTAATTTCTTTGTCAACCGATTGATTAGTATCAACTATGATACTAAGATAGGTTTACATCGTAGATATTGTAGTGATTCAAGTCTGTCTTTGAACTCTTTTATAGTACAGAATACACTGTAAATGCACACATTGTCTGAAGGGGGACGGGGCTTTCTGCCCTCCACTCTCTGTCTTCTTATTAGTATATTATAAAAAATTTAAAATCTGTTAATATCAAAGAAAACATTAAAAACTGCACTCTGCACTCTGCACTCAGCCTACCAATCAGCTCTTCATCATCATCAATACCATCGTTGTCATCATCATTGTCTTTGTCATCAGGAATACCATCTCCATCATCATCATTATCAACAGAGTCTGGGACACCATCATTATCAGAATCAACCTCATTGTCAATGTCATCAGGAATTCCGTCGTTGTCGTCGTCATTGTCCTCACTGTCTGGAATACCGTCGCCATCGTCATCGTTATCTTCGGAGTCTGGGACACCATCATTGTCATCATCGTTATCCAAAGAATCTGGCACACCATCATTGTCGAAATCATCATCATCTCCACCATCATCAGGTTTACCATCCCCATCATCATCCCCATCCATTCCATCTACAACACCGTCACCGTCGGCATCCTCTTCAAACTCATCATCAATGCCGTCATTGTCGTCATCGTTGTCAAAGGCATCGTCAACACCATCATTATCATCATCGTCATCCTCATCATCCGGAATACCGTCATTGTCGTCGTCATCATCTTGATCATTGGGAATACTATCCCCATCAAAATCTTCTTGGTTTCCATCTTTGTCATCAGGAACACCATCGTTATCATCATCATCGTCTTTATCGTCGGGAATTCCATCATTGTCATCATCAGGGTCTTCGTCGTCATTAATTCCATCATTGTCATCATCAAGGTCAAGATGGTTTAAAATTCCGTCATTGTCAAAGTCCTGGTCGCCTTTGACCGGATGTGGTTGGATGACAGTACCATCGTATGGTGGTTCTAGGAACAAAAAAACAAGAATAAATATTCTGTATTCGTGTCTACTAGAGCTTCCTCACAGATCTTAGTATTCATCAAAATACAGTAATATCCATAGATCTGTGGAATAGGAAGACGACTTTAAAACTCAGGGTATGATTACAAATATCCCAATTCCCATAAAACACAATAATTGTGCAGGCTACACAGACCCGTTTCACTTAAACAAATATTTTCAACATACTAGCAAAACTATTTGATTTAAAACAACATAAAATACGTATAAAATTGTTCAAATGCCTTCTTCCTAATTCAATTTTTTCGGATCTTACTGTAAAATCCCAGAGAGAAATTGCAAACCATACAATTTGTCTTTATCATACTGAATAAAAATAATAACTTTTTTTTTCTGAGAAAATTAGGATTTTGATCAATACTTAGATAAGGAGAGACGGGCAAAATGGGATTTTAGAAAATATTTTTAAAAAAAATTGTCTTTTAAACTGAAAATAGAAAATTTAATTTTAATTTTGTTTAATCCCATTTTCCCGTTTATTTCTTTAAAGAGGTCATTATGAGAAACATGTAAATCTTACATCACAGTAAGATTATTAATGACCTCTCCATGTGTGTCTAAAATTGATAAAATGTAAAAAAAAAAAATATGAATTTTGTTTGTTTTTATAACTATCTACATATCTTCTTCTATATATATAAACTGCTTGTTTGTTCAGATATCCGAGCATAACTCATGAACACCGATTTGCCTCAAATTTTGATTGGGAAACTCGTTAAAAACACTGGAATATTCTTAGCCTAGCTTAAAAATTTCTGAGTTGAGTGGTTTGATTTCTTTAGGGAAAACACTTGGCAGAGCTGGGTTTCCAAGCTAGTACATAATGTTGCAAAATTCATTATTGAAATCTGGTTTTTTAAATGTTATTGATATTTATCCATAAACATTAACAATAGATAACAATAAAATTGCAGACGCAAAAAAAATGTCTGCAGTTTTTTGGGGGGTACATATTATTTATGTATTTTGTGGCTTAAAATGTAAATAAAAAAATATTATAAAACTTGTGTTAAAATTATTTATTTTTATGTTTTACTCTAAAAAATACTTGTGTTAAAAATACCAACCAATCATGTTTTAAACGTTGCAAAAAAGACCTCGTTGCAAATGTATTAAATACTTGTGTTGCAAATGTAGTTTTTTCAATGTAGTTCAAGCTTTTGTTTTAAATGTAGTTTTAAGTGGGGACGATGCTCGTGTTTGAAATCCAGTAAGTACTCATGAGTATGAGTAGCATGAGCATGAGTAAATCATAACTTTATTATTTAAATTCTCATTAAATAAGTAAATACTTAATCATTTCCTGATGTAAACACTCATGTGCAATGTTCATGATGTTAATACTCATGTGCAATTTAAATGATATTAACACTCCTGTGCATGATGTTGACACTCATCTGCCTGATGTTAACACTCATGTGGATGATGGTAACACTCATGTGGATGATGTTAACGCTCATTGCATGATGCTAACACTCATGTGCATGATGGTAACACTCATGTGCATAATGTTAACACTCATGTGCCTGATGTTAACACTCATGTACCTAATGCTAACACTCATTGCATGATGCTAACAGTCATGTGCATGATGTAAATACTCATTTTATGACGTAAATTCTCATTTTATGATTTAAATACTAATGTCATTATGTAAATACTCATGTCATGATATAAATACTCATTTCATTATGTAAATACTCATGTCATGATATAAATACTCATTTCATTATGTAAATACTCATGTCATGATATAAATACTCATTTCATTATGTAAATACTCATGTCATGATATAAATACTCATTTCATTATGTAAATACTCATGTCATGATATAAATACTCATTTCATTATGTAAATACTCATGTCATGATATAAATACTCATTTCATTATGTAAATACTCATGTCATGATATAAATACTCATTTCATTATGTAAATACTCATGTCATGATATAAATACTCATTTCATTATGTAAATACTCATGTCATGATATAAATACTCATTTCATTATGTAAATACTCATGTCATGATATAAATACTCATTTCATTATGTAAATACTCATGTCATGATATAAATACTCATTTCATTATGTAAATACTCATGTCATGATATAAATACTCATTTCATTATGTAAATACTCATGTCATGATATAAATACTCATTTCATTATGTAAATACTCATGTCATGATATAAATACTCATTTCATTATGTAAATACTCATGTCATGATATAAATACTCATTTCATTATGTAAATACTCATGTCATGATATAAATACTCATTTCATTATGTAAATACTCATGTCATGATATAAATACTCATTTCATTATGTAAATACTCATGTCATGATATAAATACTCATTTCATTATGTAAATACTCATGTCATGATATAAATACTCATATTATGTAAATACTCATTTCATGATGTAAATACTCATGTCATGATATAAATACTCATATTATGTAAATACTCATTTCATGATGTAAATACTCATTTCTTGATTTATCTACTTGTATAGGATGTGAATACTCATGAAATGATGTAAATATTTATTATATAAAGTAAATTTTATATCATGATATGATGGAAACTCTTGTGTTTCTAACTAAATGTTTCTTGTGTTTCTAATCTAGAAAATCCGCAAATTTTTCTTACCGTCTTCAAGATCCTTGGAGAACTGAACCGGGTAGATAATGGCGGCTAGAAGGAATGCGATAGCTGAAAAACAAAATGGAGAATTTTAAAATCTTATTTCAAAATTTATATGGGTCTGGTCAAGAAATAAACAAGACTTATTTTGAAATGAATTGCAACTTTTTTACTTAGTAAAAATCAACAAACAAGGGTTTAAATATGTGAATTATCCTGCTTTAAATTAAAATATGGATTAAAGTAACGATTTGCGAGTATTTCTTTATGTCTAAAAAAGAAACGCTGCATTAAAAATTCCAGGCCGAGAAGATTTTTCAATTCTTTTCCTACAAAATTTCAGATTTATAACTTAACATTTATAATAATTTAGTTTGGTAAATAAATTTGCATACAATAACCCGAATGTTGAAATTCATGGTCATTCCTTTTTAATCCAAAACTTAATCCATAATTTCTTCACTTAACGTTAAGCCCATTTTTGGCTACGAGATTTATACAATTATTTACGCGGTAAATTTAAAATAAAAAGAAGTTCATCTTAAAGAGGCAGAGACCAACTATGTAAGGTAGTTGAACTGAGTATGCAGTGTTGTGGACAATTTCTTTAGGATTCATTTGAGACATATAAAACTTTTCCAGGATGTATAATTACTGAGTTTGAGTGCATAGTCGACGTTCAAAATCATGAATTTGGGTGGGTACATTTTCAGAATCGGTTTTTTTTAAATTATTAAATAACGACGACAAAGAAAGTAAACAAAATTCTAAAGTAAACAATAGTTGTTTAGGAACAGGTTGAGATAATAAAAATTAATCTTATCATCGAAAATAAGAAATCTTGTTCAATTATTATTTTATAATTTCTCATTATTCACAAAGATTTCCTGCAGATTTTCTGGAATTATTTTTGAAAAGACGACATTTGAAGAATTTGTAGAAATCTACGAATAAATTCATTGACAATAAGAAATTCAATATAATGATGAATACAATATAATTGATTCTAGCATTGATTTATTGACAAATTTCTTTTGAGAAATATGTTCCTATCCATCTAATTAGTTTGATGTATAATTTTTACTTTATTTTTCGTCGTCGTTATTTAATAATTTAAAAAAAACTACTCTGAAAACGTACCCGGACCCAAATTCATGTTTTTGAACGTCGACTATTCACTCAAACTTAGTAATTATACATCGTGGAAAAGTTTTATATGTCTCAAATGAATCCTAAAGAATTTGCCCACAATGCTGCATTCTCAGTTTAACTACCTTACATAGACTCTACGGGCGAAATGAAACTTGAGTATTTCTGAGTTTAACTTGTCCTGGACCGAATCAGAATTGATTCTCCGATTTTTCATTTGCTAAATCTCTGAACATAGTTAAACTTCTCAACTGTAAAGTTTAACTGATTAGAATCTACATAGTTAAAAAGTTACATCTATTCAAAATATCTGAGCTCAATGTACATTTTTAAATTAAAAATATGTGAGAGTAAGAAGTGTTAAGAATAGGAATCTTTTAAGATTTGTTTTTGTTTACATTAACAGTGTAATGCTGTTTGCTACCAAAGGATTTAGAACAAATAAATAAATTGGAATTTGGAATAGAAGAAGAATATATACAAAGCGTCCCATATCATATAAGATTACCGCCAGGCTTTAACGCCAAAATACACACATAATACCCAAACGCCCTAGTATTTTCTGAATAAAATTTTTTTATTAGCCTTATAAAATTTTTTGAAATTTTTTCTAAATTTTCTGATTAGTCCCCAAAGTCACAATTTTGGAACCAGCTATAAAACGATCCAATGTGATGTATATTTTTTTGTGTACTTTTCCGAAAACTGGGTGTAAGATCTTTTATGATTAAAAGTATTTAATTACTTTCTGTTTGTCCAATAATTTATTTCAAAGGTGTTTATATTTCAAAGGCTTTTTTATTTCTGTGACTTGCTTTGACCAACATTATATTCATTCATTTATCATCCAATCGTTTTAAGATAAAACACACTGCATTGTTTATTCTATTACATGAACTGTACAGCTACCTGCCAAAATGAGAGCGTAGATGGATACACGGTAATATTTGTACTTTTTGTTTGGATCTGTACTCTTTAACCCCAAGCAGGTGAGGGTTGTTCCAAAAAAGTCAGTTATTAGACCGATTATCACCAAAGCCGCACATCCCCGTAAATAGCCTGCAAAAAAATGATGATTATTAATATTATTTTGTTAATATTATTTTCTCTCTATTTAAATTTTGTGTATTTGAAATTACAAATTCCATTTTGCACATGCAAATTTTAAATTGCAAAACCCAATATCGTCACAGCTAGATTCCTATGAAGTTATGAACCCATAAAATATATTTACCTCTAGATGATATAAAATCTATTTCAGAATTTATCAAATAATTAAATATTTGCTTTAAAACGATGTTGTTGATCATTACCCAACGAGGACATTAAAACATCTGTCTAACCTTTATTTCCTTTTTTATAACATTAAGCCAATTTCGTTTCTAGAAAGTAACCAGCAGATTTCTGCGTCACAGAAAATTTCAAAAAACCAACGCCCAACTTCGGTATCTGAGCTTTTCAATATGTGGCCTATCGTTTTTGTATCTTAAAAAATGACATGAGTTATTTAGCCAAATAAAGTTATTCTTGATACATAGAACATAGATGGAACTACATTTAAAGATAAAAAACATTTTGGAAATCCCGGGATAGGGGGATTATGGGATTTTTGAATAATGTCGCGGGAATCAAAGACGACATAGATGTCATCACTTAATACCGATGTTTACAGGGGAGACTATGAAAAAAAAGAAAAAACTTACTTGCACTTCTTGCTTTAGAGCATCCGGGTGTAGGGTCCATATCAAAAGGTAGAGGTAGAGGTGCTCCTGGAGACACACATTGCATAAACAATCCTTCTCTCCAACCCTCTGCAACCATCCAGTCGGAGGTCGAGGTTGCTCCGATCATAATGATGACGGTAATGACGCAACATGTGAACGCTATTACCTAAACATGTGATTTATGTGAAAGGTCTGGGTTGGCTTGAACACCTTGCATAGATTTAAACTTGTCATTAAAAAGTTATGGCATTTGCAAAAATAACTGGCAAGTGCATTTGTTTTTCTGTAAACAGATTTAAGTTTATGCAAGGTGACTGTTATCCACTACTAAAAATTTTATTCTAAATTGTAACTTTTAATATTTAAAAAAAAAAATATAATTTCTGGGTGTCTAGTATTTATCTTTTTTTTCTAGTTTTTAACAAAAATATCCATAATTCCTAGTTTTCTATCCATAACATTCCTAATTCCTAGTATTTAATACATAATATTCCTAATTCATGATTTTCTATCCATAATATTCCTTATTTATAGTTTTCTTTCCATAATATTCCTAATTTATAGTTTTCTATCCATAATATTCCTAATTTATAGTTTTCTTTCCATAATATCCTAATTTATAGTTTTCTTTCCATAATATTCCTTATTTATAGTTTTCTTTCCATAATATTCCTAATCCCTAGTTTTTTATTCATAATATTCCTACTTCCTATTTTTTTATCCATAATATTCCTAATTCCCAGTTTTCTATCCATAATATTCTTAATTCCTAGTTTTCTATAAATAATATTCCTAATCCCTAGTTTTCAATTCATTATATTCCTGATTCCTAGTTTTCTATCCATAATATTCCTAATTCCTAGTTTTCTATCCATAATATTCCTAATTTCTAGTTTTCTATGCATAATATCCCTAATTTATAGTTTTCTATCCATAATATCCCTAATTTATAGTTTTCTATCCATAATATCCCTAATTTATAGTTTCTATCCATGATATTTCTAATTTCTAGTTTTCTATCCATAATATCCCTAATTTATAGTTTTCTATCCATAATATTTCTAATGTATAGTTTTCTATCCATAATATTCCTAATTTATAGTTTTCTATCCATATTATTCCTAATTTATAGTTTTCTATCCATAATATTCCTAATTTATAGTTTTCTATCCGTAATATTCCTAATTTCTAGTTTTCCATCCATAATATTACTAATTTCTAGTTTTCTATCCATAATATCCCTAATTTATAGTTTCTATCCATGATATTTCTAATTTATAGTTTTCTATCCATAATATTCCTAATTTATAGTTTTCTATTTATGATATTATCTATATAATTCCGTTATTCTAATATCTAAATCCATAATGATCCAATATTAATTTTTTGTCCACAATATGCAAAATTTCTAGATTTTTGTCTGTCAAAACCTTTTTTTAGCAAAATCCTAATTTTTTTCTAATTCTAACCTTGGAATCGCACATTTTTGCTCTTTACTGTATTTCCATAAAATTAAACTTAAAATCACAATTATTTTTTATCAGTTTGGTTCAGAAAAAAAGGATGAGGGGGAAGGATGTGGAAAAATAATAAATGGAGATAAAGATTGAAGTTTGGATCTGCTCCTGGTTTCTGTAAAACTGCTGGTCTGTCTAGTATCCCTTCATATACTAGGTTAAAAGCCATTTAACCAGGGGAATATCTTTCTATGCATTTAGCTCAGGGTGCAGATCTTCATTTCATCAGGGGTTCAGATTTACTCAGGGTTTAGGCAAACTTAGGGGTAAGATATATAGGGTTCAGATTTACTCAGGGTTCAGATATATCTCAGGGTTCAGATATACTCAGGTAGGGATTTAATATTCTCTGGGTTTAGATATACTCAGGGTTTAGATGTACTCTGGGTTTTGATATACTCAGGGTTTAGATATAGATAGGGTTTAGATAAACTCAGGGTTTAGATATACTCACCCACGGCTTAGATATACTCAGGGTTTAGATATACATAGGGTTCAAATATACTCAGGATTTAGATATACCAAGGATTCAGTTATACTCAGGGTTTAGATAAACTTAGGTTTTAGATATACTCACGATTTAGATATATTTAGGGTTAGGTATACTTCGGGTTAAAATATACTCAAGGTTCAACTATTCTCAGGGTTTAGATATACCAAGGATTCAGTTATACTCAGGGTTTAGATAAACTTAGGTTTTAGATATACTCAGGATTTAGATATACTCAGGATTTAGATATACTCAGGGTTTATATATACTCAGGGTTAGATTTACTCAGGGTTCAACTATTCTCATGGTTTAGATATACTCAGGGTTTAGATATACTTAGGGTTTAGATATACTCAGGGTTCATATATGCGTACTTAAGTTTAAGATTGTACTGAAGGGGTAAGCTTTATATATGTAGGGTTAAGATATATATAGATCTGGGCCCAGGTAAAGGCCCAGATATATTTCTAATACTTCTTTTATCCTTGAGTTGAAGTACATATATTCTAGGAGAACTTTCTAGAGAATCTCTTTAATAAGAATTTTACTGTCCAGTGAAACTAATATTTGGTCAGCAGCTCATTCCTAGAAAAGGAAAAAGGTCAGGATTTCATTTTATAAATTTTCTACTTGATTTGCTAGTTCCGCTAGTCCGCGGAGTTTTGTGCTCATTGTGGGTTGCATTGTTAGGAGTTTAAAGTTTAAGAAGTTTTGTATAAACATTTCAAAGTCAAAAACATTTTCACTAATATGTCCTTAACATTTCTCGCCAAAGACAGCTGACAGCTGAATACCTGGTGAGACAGCTGACAACAGCAGATCTACCTGGCACAGCTGTTGCAGGCCCAGCTACAGCTGTTCCGGTCAGGATGAACAGCTGGACGCAGCTGAGCTGTCAACCTTGTCAATGGAAAGCAATCGTTTGTCACTCAGGGTTGGTATTTCTTGTTTCATTTCAGGATTTCTTATTTTATTTTTGACAATTATCGTCTTGGAAAAATGTGATCCACAGAATAGGACTAATTTTTGACCGCCCCCCCCCCCCCCCCCCCCCCGGGGGGGGCGTCAAAATGAAATATATTGAAAAATGAATATAGGTTTTACATCTGCAAGGATTTAATTCTCCGATAGGAAGAGGGATAAAGTCGAAGACGCAGAGTAAGTACAAGGGCAGCAAATGGGGGGGGGACAATTTTTTTCAACTTTAAAGTTTATTAAAAGGAACTGTTCACGTAATTTTGAGTGGCACCCCTTATACAGAGTGGAATGTCCAATTCATAGCGGTACCCTTTAAACCTTTGTCTTGTCTGATGACTGGGATTCTCTTTAAAAAACTGTTATTTTCATTTGTGATTTGTGATTTGTGATTTGTGATTTGTGATTTGTGATTTGTGATTTGAGATTTCTTCATTAATTGGAACTTGCAGATTTCCAGCTACAGGGGAAATTATGAGAATTAAACACTTTTCCAGCTACAATAATAATCATAAAAAAGGTTTAAAGGGTACCGTTTGTGAATCGGGTCTGGACCTTTTTAAATGGAGTGTTATCATAATTTACAACGACAGTGTCTTTTAGGTTTATTTTTTAAAATTTTTAAATTTCTGAAGTGGCAAATAATTAGAAATTTTAGAATTTAGGATAAAAAGGACAACATGTAGTTTGAATTTCTAAAACCTTCATCTAATTCGTTCTAATATCTAAACCTTTGCTGAAGTTAATCCTAAATCAAGTCTATTATAAACTGTAGGTATAAAGACCTATATTATAACTCAATTCTTAAGCTTGAACTTAATCCCATTCTGAAGATAATTCTGGATCAAATCCATTCATATATCAATGATGATCTGAAAAAAATTTTATTTAATCATTGCTAATAATATTTCACTGTAAACAGAAAGCTTAAATCGATCATTTCAGGAAATAAATTTCATGCAGCGCGTGTTTTCAGGCAATTAGGATGTGCAGTATATGAATCTATGGAAGAAAGTCACAGGGAAAAAAGTTTCTGAAAAAAAACCTGGAAATAAAAACTTTTTAAAAAGATTCCCTATTTTCTGAAGTCCTAGGACAAAATGTCATTGGAAATAAAGTCCTTAGATTTTAATTCCTGGGACTTTTTTTCCTAAAATAGTATGGGAGCTGCCAATAAAGTCTCAGGAAACAAGATGAACAAAAAAGTCCTATGTCTTGTGAAAATGAAGTTAAGTCTGAGACGTTTTTATAAAAAGGACTTTTTTCCAAACATCTGCATATTGAATATATCCAGGGTTGTGTTTAATATCAATTGCCCCTTTTTTGCATGGTTGTTAATATCCTTTGTTCCAATGCATTTTTACTATAATAGGACTTTTTTCCGGAACGTTTTTGTATGAAATCATGCTGCAACCAGAAAAAAGTCCTAGAAAATAAAGTCTCAATATAGTAGGACTTTATTTCCGAAGAATTTTTATTTCAAGGACTTTTTTCCACAGGACTTTTTCAGTGTCAAAATTTAGAACTTTATTTCCGAAATTTTTTTTTAGAGAACTTTTTTGGCGGCTACAACAGTGTATATAGTGCAGTATTGTGCAGTATTGTGCAGTATTGTGCAGTATTGTGCAGTATAGTGCAGTATAGTGCAGTATAGTGCAGTATAGTGCAGTATAGTGCAGTATAGTGCAGTATAGTGCAATATAGTGCAGTATAGTGCAGTATACATTTCAGCATATTTTTAACATTTTAGGAAACTACGTTTTACATTCTTTTAATAATTTACATCGTTTTCTTGAAAAATATTCCTGTAATTAAACAATATGAATATTTTCGTTCTGTTTCATCCTTTCTCAGGGAGAATCTTTCTCCCTTGTTACAAAGGAAATGAGATCCTGCCACAAACTCAAATTTTCTAATCCCTATATCTTTTTAACCTGATGATATAAACCTTGTAAACTGAGATTATTTTATCTAACAGAAATTTTTAGTTTTAAAAGTCTTCACTATTTGGTTGCAACGATAAAAGGATAAGAAAATCAAAGTTTTTGCGAGAACTCAGTTCATTTTCAACCAAAGGAATTGAGTCTTTGGAACAAAATCAAATATTCAAACCTCAATATCTCAGATTATTTGATCTAACAGAATTTATAGTTTGAAATATCTAAGGTCTGCAACATTTGATTCCAAAGATATAGTGATTAGTAAA